AAACACTTTGCCCCCACCCCTGCGACTCGTCAGCTCCGCGCGCCGCGACTCAGAACGCGCCACTATTTGATTGATGCTTATTCTTTTTTTTAACCGACTTCGAAAAAGAGGAGGTTACTCAATTCGATCAGTATGTATGTTTTTTCTTTTTTTCTCTGTGCATGTTCACAGTCCAATCTTTTGCATCTTGTATGGTATGTCTTCCGATTGGTCCAATTAAAAAAAAATTTTTCATTTTTTCCTTGTTATTGCAAAATACATGAAGTTTTTAATCTCAAGATTGGACGACTTCAGTGACCTTTTAATATGTTGTCGAGGGCATAATTTTGAACAACTTTTTCGTTATGTATAATTAACGGAAAGTTTTAGTTTCCGAGATATTCGTGAAAAACTATTGTTACTACTACATTGAATTCCACGTATGCCTACGTGTCTCTACCAATGCACGAGTCAGCATGCAGTCGCCGATTCTCTACTGTTTCTATATACATATGTATACTCTGCAAGGCATGTACCGATCGCAATGAAACCTTTCACATTTAATAAGAGATATTTCCGCGATGATCTCACTTGCAAAAATGTATGGAACTTGTTAGCGTTAAAAACTATCGTTATAGCAATTAACCAATAAGAACGGTAAACCATCTTACGGCATCCTACAAATGCTGCTCGTTCCACTAAAAAGTGTGAAATAAAATAATTTTTAACAAAAAATACAACCGACTTCGAAATGCACTAAAAAGTATGAAATAATTTCTACTTCATTTATACAAATAGCTATTAATAAAACCTATTTACTCGTTAAATAATATACTAAATACATTTCAACCTTTTCGGAGGCAACCTATCAAATCGTTATTGACAGCATCGTATATTTGGGTATTTTTAATTTTGCGCCGCCTCCGAAAAGGTTGAAATGTATTTAGTATACTCTTTAACGAGTAAATAGGTTTTATTAATAGCTGTTGGGTATTTGTATAAATGAAGTAGAATTTATTTCATGCTTTTTAGTGCATTTCGAAGTCGGTTGTATTTTTTGTTAAAAATTATTTTATCTTTTTCTACGAACACTTACATTTCCTAACGTTTATCCCTCTCAGTACTATACAGGTAACAGAGTAGTTGGTATTTAGAACGCATAGAAACGAATGCCAACAATAAACTTTCATTGTTTTCTTTTATAATTGACGATAGGAATGTTCCAAAGTTACACGTTGAGTCTCAGTTCGTTTTTTGCTACATACAAGAAATTCTACACCTTTCGAATACTAATGAACTGGAAACGTATCGGGATATTAAAAATAGACACACTTAGATAGAACAGTAGACCTATGTTATTTGACATTGCAAATGATGTTTACGAATGTTAAATGATACATACAACTTTCCATTGTAATGGCTCTGAAAATAAAACTGAATAAGGTAGAAATGGTATTTTTACCACGAACAATGGTTGAGTATATTAGTAGCGCTATTATCCTGACTATTTTAAACTGCTATAATTACGAAAAATTATAAAAATTACCACAAAAATGGAGGTTGATGGTAGTACTGGCACTTCACTGACCGTTCTGTTCGTAATTGTTACTGCCGTGACGTTATCATTTTACGCGAAGCAATATATTCTTATCTCGTTGTATAATATATTATCAGTCAAATTTCGCAATGATGAAACTGTTGAAAATTATCAAAATTTCGAAATGCAATTTACTAAAACAGATATAACCCGGTATATTCGAACCGTTTTCGTCAGTTCGTTTCTAGTACAATAGAGAAAGGGATAGAAAGATAATTGTTATCCAGTAATTTATCACAAGGTTAAATTATGTAAGACCATTAGAATTAAGTTTGACTTCTTGTGCGCGATAAGATTTGTCGATGACCTACAACCGCATGGTAAAACTATTTTATAGAAAATTAACAAAATTTCAATTGTGAGCTTATATACATATGTATATAAAATAAGTATTATGGGCCATCTGTGACCCACGTGAAACGCTGAATCCAGAAAAAGGTCGCTAAAACTACTTTTGATGATTCCATCCAAAGTAGATCGAGCTCGTATACAAAAATAAGCTGGCATTGAGAATAGAAACAAAAGCACACTTAAACACATTCTGATCATCTATTTTTGCAATTAAAGTTTCCGATGGAAAGTTTCTCAACCTGTTATCATCGTTCGTGATAAATTATCGCGACGAATTAACCAGTCATTGATCTCTCGTTTGCTCTTCAAACAAAACTTAATTCATTTGCAAATTTGGGAAATGACACCAGGAAAAAAGGATGTTAAAAATGGTATCTCCGCTTCAAATTCACAAAATTGAATCTTTTTTTTCATTATTTATCTTGTGCATCCATTAATCAATCGCGCATCGTTTGGAATTATCACAGACCGATTGGGATACTTAAAAATACCGATTCGAACAAACAGGTTATTTTCTCAGACGGTGTTCACGAGGTGATCGCGTCTTAACCAACATCTGTGCTCGCTTGCAATTCGCTGGATCGCAGAAATTTTCCATTGCACGAGATTATCGACTTGTGCTCGTTTTCCGCTGACTGCTTTATCAGCGACACAATGTTTAAGAACGATTCGAATGGAAACACGTGTCGAGGTACTTTGGCTAGAAAATAAAAATCTAGGAGGAAGAAGAATGGGGCATCGATTGATTCAAATGAAGGATGGATGACAAATGTCGGTGAAGGAAACGTGTGGACGGTGACACGTGCCGTTCGTGGACGACTGTGATACGCACGTGTTAACGATTATCATGACACTGCTAATCATTTGATACGTCTGCGACCAGCCTGCTTTGATTGCCTTTGATAAACACCAAGACGCACACCTTCAATTGCGATTCTGCTCAAATTTTTTACATTGAAAACTTTCAATTTATATTTTTCAGAGTAGAAATTAAAATTTAAAATTTGGGAAGCCACTGCAGCTTCCATAATCTAAATAAGGATTACATAATTAGAATTTTCTTTAATTTTTTCTCTTTTCATTAATTTATAGAGGAATAGTATATGCTTATATCAGTTTTATGATGCCAGTAATTAACGATCTCCACGGTATTAAATATTCTTCTCTCTATCAGAAATGATAGAACATGGAATTTGTTAGAACTGGGCCGCTGATAATCACGTGCAAACTAATTAAAGAACCAATCACATTCCGTACATCGCCATCAACAAATAATCGTCCAAGAGGCTCGGATAGATAAGGGACGTTCATTAACTCTACTCATCCCGTATCTACTATTCCTTAACGAGACGACTTATTCTGCCTCTTTTTCCCCTTTTAAAAGCACCTCGCCATCAGAATGCGCGGTACTTTGGCGCCTAGTAAACAGCTTCCTGCTTTGGAAGTTATGCAAATTGTAAATTGTTTCGCAAGACTCCATTGGCTAAACGGTGTTTTACAGAGAAGATTATACATTCTGCTTGCGTCAGAGGTCACGCGATGCGTACTTTGTCGTTGATAAAGTTCACGATGATAACATCCATAGAGAAGCGGAATGAACTCGGACCGACTAGATCCGCGCGGGAAATGACTAGATGCGGTCAAAATGATAGAATCATTGACCATTTATTGAATTCAATAAAACCGTCTACTATAGCGTATGATAGCTATTGACCCTGTTGTTGAAAAAATTAATAATAATCGTGTATCTCTTAAACAATATTCGATTTGTGGTTTAAAAACTGTTAAAAGTAACGCTGGAATAAAAATTACGTAAAAGGAAGTTAAAAAAAATTTATCCGCAATTTTTCGCAGTCGGTAGGACTCGAACCTACGCTCCCAGAGGGAATCTGATTTCTAGTCAGACGCCTTAACCACTCGGCCACGACTGCTACGTTCATTGCGTTCATTTTCATTCTACTTCCGGGAAAAAATGAAATACAAATAGATTATTTCTAATTAAATTATTGAAACAGTCTAGTGTAATAGTAACAGCACTGTAACAGTATGACGCAAGTTGATGGATACCGGATGAAGCCTTTGGTGGTGTCATGCGTTAATTATAAATTAATTGCAAGATTAATTCACAAGTGAAAAGACAAAATTTTGATTCCCTTTGATTCTATCTTTTAGAAATCAGTCAAAGTAAGCACAAGACCGAAAAATGATTAAAATAATTGTTTGATAAAGTTGTATTTAAAAAAAAACCGCCATAAATTAAATATCTTTAAAAATCGATTCCTGCGCCATCTCTTTAACAACGGCTGAAATTACTCAACAACTTACCGATGGATTTTTTTTATTGATAAAGACGACTAGGTCTTTACAAGCCCATGTGCCGGTTTTTTAAATGTAATTTAAACATGTTTATGCGTGTCAGGGTGGAATGTGCCGATACAAACAAGTATAGGTATGTATAAATTAACTACAGAAAAATATAACATTGTTCTTATATGGGCGTTTTCTTCATTACCGACTTCGACGCCGGCCGCCATATGTTTCGGAAGATCGATCGGTAAGTTATTGAGTAGCTTGAGCCCTGTTTGAAGAGATGGCGCTGAGGTCGAATTTTAAAAACATTTAATTTATGCCGGGATTTTTAAAATACAAGCTTATCAAACAATTATTGTAATAAATTTTCAGTTTTCTGTTGATTTTGAGTGATTCCTAAAAAATACAATCAAAAAAAGTCAGAACTGTGTCTCTTCAACTGTAAGTATGTTACTAGCACCGACGAGAGGCTACTAAAGACTGCCACCCTCTGTGTTAAAGTGCGGCAGGCCAAGTGGGCCCAGTGGGTGAAGGGTACGATCAGTAAATGGCTGTGAGCATTTGGAGGTGATGTTGCGGATAATAGATAATGTAAGTAGAATAATGATATTATCCCTTGTATCGCCGATCAGACAATTTAAGAACTGTTATACCACCAACGAGATAGGTAATTTAGACTTGGCACAGCACCTGCGAAATAATTATATTGTCGGTGCTGCCCCTAGTCGAAGGGCCTCTAACTGTTTATTCCATGGGGCCTGTGTAACATTTGTATCAAAATTTTATTTTAAAGGAAATGGTAATTTGGAATGAGGAGGTAAATTCTTGCAGAGTACAAACAGAGATGGTTTCTTTGTAAAATAGGTTTTGTGGCCCTGAAAAGGGCCAATTGGTATGTATTCTTCAACGAATTACTTTTTCGCCGCTGCTCTTGCGACTTTTGGAGACTTTGCTGTTTTTGGTTTTGGAGTTTTCGTCTTTGCTGCTGGTGCCTTAGTGGCTTTCTTCGTTTTCGATAAATTTTTCGGTGGTGGTGGTGCCTTTTGCTTCGCAGATTCTGCTTTCTTTACAGCAGCAGTTTTAGCTTTCTTCGGAGAAGGAGGTTGTTTCTTGGCTGCCGCGGCTGGTTTCTTCACAGCGGGTGCTTTCTTCGGGGCAGCCGCTTTCTTAGGACTCGCTGGCTTCTTCTCCGCAGCTTTCTTCTCAGCTACTGCAGGTACGGTCTTTTTCACAGAACGTTTGGATTTGCTCTTCGATTCGAGACCCTTCGAAGATATGGACAGCTTGAACGAGCCAGAGGCACCTTTTCCCTTGGTTTGCACCACCGCACCGGTAGTTACGGCAGCTTTCAAGTACTTCTTAATAAATGGCGCCATTTTTTCACCATCAACCTTATACGTCGTTGCTATGTATTTCTTGATAGCTTGAACTGACGATCCCTTGCGATCTTGCAAGGCCTTGATAGCAGCATTCACCATCTCCGCAGTTGGTGGATGGGACGATTTAGAACGTTGCGATTTTATCTTTGATTTTGCAGACTTTTTCGCAGGCGACGGGTTTGTCCCCGCATTTTCCACTGCTGCAGTATTTCCAGAGCTGTTCTTCTCCTCCATTTTACACAAAAATGAACAATAACTGTGTGAATGCAACAAACTTTCACGGTCCGTTCACAGAGTGCGCTTCGGAAGCCAGAAATCGAGGTACTAGTAGGAAAGGCACGGACCGGGAAGAGAGGCCTCTCCTCTGTTTCCAATATCACGATGTTGAGAATCCCGGACTCACACCGAAAGATTTATGATTTATGCAATTATTTGTTCGATTCAAAGCACATATTAGGCATGTAAGGTTTCAGTTATTGTCAATAGTTTTCAACGGTATCGTTGAATGACAAATTGATCTCAATTTACAGCTGTTATATTCGACTGAAGTGACATAGTCTCACGGTTGTTCTTGTTTAGGACTACACCAATCTTGGAAATTAAGTAAAAAATAGTAGAATATTTAACCCAAAATGGTTTCTCTTGCTAGAATAGGTGTCCTAATATTAAACCTATCGATTTGTATACATCAATCGTTAATGGAGTTTCGATATTATCAGAAATTCCAAGAGTTTTACGCGGAAAGAAATACAATCATCAGGAAGATGCGACGCAAATGGTTGACATTATAGTCATTTATATAATACCATTAATCTGATTAATAGTACTCAATTATGCACGACAATATAGACAAGAATATGGAAGTGGATTTATTTAACAACTTATCTCGCATTAATTTAAAATATTGCACACTCTGGTCGAGATGTTCTGAATCAGCATACTTTGATGCTTTGAAATGATATTTCAGTTTTATAAAAGTGCTTGTACATTGTTATACATAATGCAATTTCAATTTTATCTAATTTAAAAATTAATACTGTTCAGAAGTCTACTTGTTGATGACAAAATATAACATTTAATTGTGAAATATAATACCACCACAGGTACTTTGAGCGTCATGAGCTATACCTGCCATTTATGAATGTATATCAAATGCTTCAACGTTGAATGCAGATGATGTACCATCAATATTGTATATAAAAATAGAACTGGACAATGTAAAAGATTAGTTCACTAAATATTTACAGGGAAAAATTAAATCAATGATTTCGGACATATACATATACTTATTCGGACATATAATGATTTCGGACTGCAGAAAGTTATTGATGACTTGACGATGTTGTTTCGGTATTCCACTATTATACAGTGATGAAGCTGAATGAGTGTATCTTTGTACGAATAATTATAAATGGAATACAATATTAATTATGATATAGACCTTAACTTTGACCAACAACAAAAGACCATGTCGGTTAGGATTTAAAAGGTTCGAAGCGGAGTATTTTATTTCAGTCTAGAGAAATACTTGAAGATTTGTCTTGTAAAAATTAACATAAGTTTGTTTTTATTATTTTGTTTATTTACATGTTAAAATAATTATAGTTCCTGTTTTAATAATTTCCTGCTTTCAGCTTTCTACAAGCGAGTCTTTCTAACTACGAAGCAGGAAATATGGAGCATCAATAACATTCGACATTATTCACAACTCATTTGTTTGCATACATCTGTGACACAGCTCAGTGACAACTCATTCATTCAGCACTGACTTCTTCACAGGTTGTGAGCTGTTACTAAACATTAATCGCTTACTGATTTGTTTATGCGAAACAGCTATACGTTTGTGTATCTGGGCAAGGGAAGAGAGCAAGAAAGTGCACCCTTGGCTGTGAATGATGCGTGTGGACTGAGCGTTTCTAATAGAGAATTACATATGGCAGGAATTTAACAAGTACCATATATTAATTTTCTTCGTGCTAAAATAAATTTTGCTTTTAATTTCTAAACTGTAATGTATTAACATTTTTTAAGTGTTCGCCTAATAATGATTAATAATTTGGTTAACTGTATATGCACTGATGGTTTTTACGTAATTATTGTATTCGTATTGTAATTTCGCTGCATACTTTTGGTTTTAGCAATACAAAATTGTACTCAACAAGTACAGTGATCGCTTAATAATTCAAACAAAAATATTATTACCAAATGTTAATATTACTATAATATACACTGTTACTTCTATTGACATTGTTTTTGTGTCGAGTAAAGTGCTATTGCAAGCTAACAATAGTATCAAAATAATGTATATTTAATAATAATTAATGGATATGTTGAAATGATAGAAGTTCTATGTTTAAATTTTTTGTTGGCCCTAAAAAGGGCCGTTTTTAAGTAAAAACTTAATCGCAGTGATAGTAATTTAACCACCAAAACCATAAAGGGTTCTACCTTGACGTTTCAAGGCATAAACCACATCCATGGCAGTAACAGTCTTCCTTTTTGCATGTTCGGTGTAAGTGACAGCGTCACGAATAACGTTCTCAAGGAAAACTTTAAGAACACCACGTGTTTCTTCGTAGATCAGACCAGAAATACGTTTTACACCACCACGGCGGGCAAGTCGACGGATAGCTGGCTTCGTGATACCCTGAATATTATCACGAAGTACCTTCCTGTGACGCTTTGCTCCTCCTTTTCCCAATCCTTTTCCTCCCTTTCCACGACCGCTCATTTCGACTAATACCCACTTCTACGTAAGATCAACAGAATAATGTGATATTTCTCCAAAGTCAAACTATTATATAGCAGTACCAACTGTCCTTCCCCCTCCATCGCGCCATGTCCAGTACATAACCCTACCGTCACGCGCTACTGAGCTCTCCCCACCACACGTACTCCAACCAATCAGAGCAGAGGTGGAACTCTGATCTACAAGCATATAAGGGAGGCAGAGTCACCGTTGCGTCATTCTGGTTTGGGAGTTTGAACGGAGCGTACTTTATCGTCGGTGACATGGCTCGTACTAAACAGACTGCTCGTAAATCTACGGGTGGAAAGGCTCCACGGAAACAGTTAGCTACCAAAGCTGCTCGTAAAAGTGCGCCTGCAACGGGAGGAGTGAAGAAACCTCATCGCTATAGACCTGGAACTGTAGCTCTCAGAGAAATTCGAAGATACCAAAAGAGTACGGAGCTCTTAATCCGTAAATTACCTTTCCAACGTCTCGTTCGTGAGATAGCACAAGATTTCAAAACGGATCTTCGTTTCCAAAGTTCTGCTGTGATGGCTTTGCAAGAAGCCAGCGAAGCTTACCTTGTTGGACTTTTCGAAGACACTAACTTGTGCGCTATTCATGCCAAACGAGTTACAATCATGCCAAAAGACATCCAACTTGCTCGCCGTATTCGTGGAGAAAGAGCTTAAGAGTTTTAAGATCTACCTTTTATAATCATCGGCCCTTTTTAGGGCCCAATTTTTTTCAAACGAAGAGCACTTTCGTGAACATTTTATTAAAATTTCAAATATACTCTACCTACAGTATGTCCGCGCTAAAGTGTGACAGACGTTTTATTTCGTAACTATTGATAATAGAAAAAATTGTTTATATGGCAATTGCACGGTAAAATGGGAACTATGTTTTGGCCGAAATGAAAAATCTTTCACATTAATAGTTTAAAAGATATGATGGTCAAGTTTTGTTTTTTAATTGGAACCATATATTTTCGCTCTTCTCTTAATTTTTTCCCGAAAAAATCAGATAAAGGCTATAATAAGACTCATCGGATCGTGACCGAACTTGGTATGGTGATAGACCTTGACCTCCATAGTAACCGCCTTGAATATTATTCGGTGCACGCTTTTGGTTTCCGAGATATGAGGTTCGAAAGTTTGGTTTTGGACTTGGTCAAAATTCGATTTCATGGGTAATCTAAACTCATCCGTTGTGACCAAACTTGGTACGTTGATAGATCATGACCTCCTTAGTACGACACCATGTATATCGGGTCTGGTTGCTATAGCGACTCATCGGAGATCACTGTGAACTTTTGAATCAAGAGAAGAGCGTTTTTTTCCTATCGGAAATGTAACTGGTTTTCAGATCATGTGATAGTGCTTCTTAAGACTAATTAATTAAGCTTTAATGTATACACTCGATTATAATTAGTTTTCAAAATATAACGTTTACAAATTTTCCGATTTTCAGTAGATACGTTTCGGTTTGAATGGCAAGTCGTAAAAGCGGCCCTATTGCGGTTTCTTTTCCTTTGGGTCTGCCGTTCCTAGCGTAGACCCCCGCTGAGGCACTGACCGCTACAATAGGGCCACGAACACGTGGCACCATGCCATTTCTCTACCTAAATTATTATTAGTTCTTATGCAGAAAACCAATAAGGAACACGTGCTTGAAGCAGGTGTTAAACTTGTTACATCCTTAAACAGAGTCTGTACCATAACGTATCTATGCACCAATGTTGGACATTCTTATCTACTCTACCAAATATTAATTGCTAGATAGTATTAGTATAAAAAGGAATTTAAAATCACAGAAGTGATCGGTAATCAAAGTGTAAATATTAAATATTACGTTTACTCGACAACAAATTGTTCGAGTTGCCGATACAACTATGCACTCTCAGTCGTTAGAAATCATAGAACTTGTTTCACAAACGCGCGTACTTGCTCAGTCATCCGCAATAAAATAATGACAAATAAAATCACAACTCACGCGACGAGTATCCACTTGTGTCAAACGCCCGTATCATATCACCGCTGCCTATCCTTTTGAAGAGGCAGGCGTTGCATCGTTGCATGTCACAGCGTGCTACGGCTCGGTCAATATCTCTTCGTTTCTTGAAAGAAACGATTCGGCAATAGGAGTAGGCCACTACAATCATCTCCTGCACCTCCGGAGCGTATTGTAGCGAGCGGAACGTTGTTCGAGGAGAATTCGTCGCGCAGACCAGCGCAGACCAGCGCAGACTGACTGGAATAGAGTACAACTTGTTGCGCGGGATGGAACGACACTGAGCGAGCAAAATACAGGAACGAAGGGGAAACAAGTCGAGGCATAAAACATGCAGACACGGAAGGGAAGTTGAACGACCATGTTTCCATAACGGTGGGAAAAACCATCTGTTTTACACCTAAGATACTCGAAATTCAATGCACCCCTTTTACAAATGAAAACCACACACGGAGGATTGCGTGTTTTCCTCCACTGTGTATTTCCACGATTTTGTCACCGACAGGGAAACAATGTAACTTTCTGTATCGATCAATGCCAATCATAAATGCAAGCTATGCATTACCGTTCTCTGTATTGCATTAAGCCAGATTAATGTTTCAAACGATCCACATAAGATAATGATAGTGGAGCTAATGCATCGTGCGTCGGGGTGGGGAGCAGCAAGATTCTTGATCGTCCAACTTCGCAGATGCGTTTTGACGTTCATAGAGCAATGAATCGTTCGAGGCAACGTTATTATGGAGTTAGCAGAATTTTATTATCGGTACTCGGTCTGTGGCCGTATGATAATAATAGATCGGTCAAGACTGTGAAAAGATTATCTATCATGGTATTTCTCGTTGCCACTGTGGTGTTCCAGGTATGATAATTTTATTTTTGGAGAATCGTCTTTGGGAATCAAACTGAAAAGCTAAAGTAAGCTATACTATGCTATGCTAAGTTTTACAAATTTTATTTTAATAAATTTATATGGAACCATTTCCACTGAAAGCTAAGTCACGATATGCTGTTTCGTTTTTTATGCTAAGATTCCTTCGTCAACGATTTATCGGAACCATTTTAAACTGGGGATGAATGCAGTGGGGTTTTAAAATTATCATACACAACAGTATAGCATAAAAAAATTTAGCTTCGGTGGATATTGTTAAAATTTTATAGCATAACATCGCATGGCATAGCTTAACTTAGCTTTTGTTATTTCACCCCTGCATCCCTTACATCCCTGTACGTGATTGATTGAGACGGATAAATAGCATAAGATTCCAATTTTAATTTGGAAATCTGATTCGATCAACTTTTCTTAAGAAGGTTTTCTTTTCTTACTGATTGCTTTCAGTTAGCAGCGTACTTTCGGTCTCCAGAATGCGACGAAAACTCTTTGATAAACACTACATGTTACATTCTTATTGTTTGCATATGTGCTGTGAAATACTGTACCTTTTGGGTCAACGAAAAAGGTGTAAGTTTTATAAAAATTTAGAAAAGCTTAACTTTTATCGCTTAATTCGATTCAACATTTTTTGTGACTTTAGATAAAGGAAGTAGTTGACGCGATTGGAGATAATTGGCTATTCTTGAATAGCAAAGATGAACAAGAAATGTTCGCAAAATACATGAAAAGTGGAATGCTTTTAACCTATATTTTTGCATGTAAGAAAAGGTTTATTGTTTGTTGGTTTTATGACCTATATCGTTGAATATATTACATCTATCTTTTTCAGTTGCGATTTCTATGTTATGTTGTATATTTATCTATTTACTACTGAAAAAACCCTTGGATTTCGATTTCTGTCAATCTACCGCAAACTTGTACTTAACAATAAACTATTTTACCGAGGATCAAAAATTTGTTTACGTCGTTACTTTGCATGTAACTGTTTTTTATGTTTGGATTGGAATAGCTTTTATTGGAACTGAATCACTAATCATGTCGCTTTTTTATGAGAATGCTGGTTTATTCGAAGTAATTCGGTAAGAAAATTAAATGCATTCTTCATAATCTTATTAGGAATATAATAAGTTACAGATTTATTATTAATTGTTCGCTAATTGAACGCTGACTCATATTTTATTTTCATAGACATCGAATACAGAACGCGTTTAGTAAGGAAACATTGAATATACCGGGTATTAAGAAAGAGAAAATAGTGCAGAATAAATTGGTCGAAGCTGTAAAACTACATCAAAGGATACTCTGGTCAGTATATAATCGAATTTAATCACCCATTCAAAACATAATAATTTTGTTAATAGTCTGTGTTCATTTTATCTTATGTTCATCGAATTTTCCGGGAAAACTTCATTAAAATATGAAGCAATTATAGTCACGAAGAAAGCGTTGTTACATTTTCATATTTCTTGGTACTTCTTGTGGGAGTAGCCATTACAATTCTGAATCTTCTACGCGTGAGTACAGCAGCAATGAAAATTGGTATACTCATAGAAATGATATTACTACATAACCGTTTCTTAACATTAAACGTATAGCTGTCTCAGCTTAAAATCGAAATGAGTACATTGAAGATACTAGTAATGGAAATATATCTGATTTTCATATGTTTTACCTATATATTCTTGATCAATCATTTATGTCAGACAGTTGAAAACAACAGTACAAAACTTCTCTTCGATATGTGAGTGATAAATAATGTTTTTTTATTTTCCAAAAATAATATCCTATTTTATTAATAAGGTGATAAAATTTCTGTTGTATCGTCTGTATATTAATATCGTATAGATTTCAATGAAATATAATTGCATTCTCTATAGATACGATAACTTATGGTATTTAGCACCTGTATCCTCGCAGAAATTACTATTATTCATGATGCAGAAAAGCAAGAAGAATGTTTTAAGCCCGGTTGGAGGGATTTTTTTACCAGGTCACGAAGGATGTATAAAGGTAACAAACAAAATATCACTCATCGCACAAACTTTTCCTTTTCATTCCAATTATTAACAATCTTCCATTTACAGCTTATTAAAATGAGTTTCTCTTATTTCATGGTCATTCGTTCCGTACAATCGTAATTACCAAGAAAGTGTATTGACGGATACAAGTGGCAAGTAGTGCGAATAAATAGATGATCTTATTATACATCATAGAGGAACCTTCTTCGATCAAGGATCATTAAATTTGAATAGAATGGTCGGTTCAGTAAGTCACGCCGAATTTAGTTGCATCTTTAATTCCTGTTAAAATTAAAATACTTTGATGACGTCGGCAGTAATCTCTTTTGTATGTATTATCGTTAAATTTGTATGGTATTATGTTTGGTTTGAATTTATCGTGAAACTTAAAACAAGGTAAGCGTGGCAGAACGAAGTACATAATAGTAATTAAATTATATATTCAGTTGATTTTCGTGAAAGAAATATGTGTAAAATTAAAAAAAATAAAATGAGCAACTTACAATAAACTTCCGCAATGTTAATATTAATATGTGATTGTTTTCTTTTTATTTCAGGTAAGTGCCTTCATAAATTGCTAATTGAAGGGTATGAAAATCTAATTACTGGTATTATATTTTCTGTCTAATAGAATAAAATACTAGAACATCAAAGATTATTTTACATGATTTGGAGAAAACTTGATAAACAGTATCTTATTAGCACGGTGCAGAAAAACAATCGAATATGCTTTAAATTGTTAATGTAAATTAAAATGATTATTGCAGAAGAACCTTAATAAATTCCTCTCACGCAAAACGCTAATTAAGTGTTGTTAAGATAATATCTTAAGTCACCTAGAAAGAGGAAATATGTTATACAAACATAAATTTGCAGAAATATGAATAATCAAATTATCATAATCCGCTAACATTCTTACGTCCACGATTTCACTTATTAGGCATAAACGTCCCAGACTCACATAATAATATGAAAAATAACAGTTCTTACTTGTAACAGTACCAGAAAAGAACAGTTTCCTATGTTTTTGCGTTGAACCATTCCACAGTGAAAGGTTTGATCGTCACTTTCTTGAAAATGATGTTCTTCCTTCGAATGTTCTTCGCTAACTGAACTCCCGTTCCACAAGTCCAACCGTACGTTCTATTTCCAAGAAAAAGAAACACTGAAAAATAGGAGAAATAAATAATATCAGAGAGAAGAAAACTGTGAAATTGTGCTGAAGTATAATTTATTCATCCCTCGGGCAAATGTGTAGAGAGACAAAATATAAAACCCTTCTGGCTTTTCCCGCGGTAGATTTGTCTAAAAGACCTTAAATTATATCGATCATACTGAAATTACAGTCTACGTCGATCATTCTATCACGCAACATCCCCCGTTTCGTACTTTCGCTGGAACAATGCTAAATTGTCTGTGAAAAGGAAGGGGAAAGAATCAGTAGTATAGAAAGTTGCTGGTCAGACGCTCTGTGACTGTCGACCGAGATGGACGAAATTATAAAACGTTATTACAAGCTTGGTAATTGTTACTTCGTGGTGCTTGGTCTGTCGCCTTACAATATCTCAAAATTCACCAAAATACAAAACTTTGTGTATGTATTCGTCATTTTTTCCTGTTTATTAATCCAGGTATCGTATATTAGGTGATTCTTCACTTTTTTTTTCACAACAATTATTTTTTTTTCGAATTGTGTTGCTTTTCAGATATTTCCACTTATAACAATAGATTTCTCTTTGATACTCCTATTCAGAAGTTTTCCGTACATGTTTATTGTAACAGCTGTTCTTATGATGTATGTTACATTTATGATCAGAAAGAAAGATGTAAGTTGCCAATGAGTTTTTCACAAAGTGTTCGGTACTTTGTCATTTTCACTGTGATTTCTCTCGAGTTTGTTGCGTGCGTAGGTTAAAAATATTATGGAGAAAGTGAAATACGATTGGGACATCGTAAAAACGATCGAGGAACTGAACATACTGAAAGAATATGCGAAGAAAGGAAAATTCTACATCAATACGTTCAGTCGTAAGATAATAACAATTGTTCAGTGCGTTAATATATAATGAAATTAAACAATTGTAACGATTTGCAGTTGTTACATACTCTTGTTTAGCCGTCACATGGCTGACTCCGTTTACCAACGAACTGCTCGATTTAGTAAAACCCTTGAACGAATCACGTGCACGTAAACTTCCGATTCTTGTGGAATTATTTATTGATCAAGAAAAATTTCATTACCCTATTTCTTTCATACTTAATTTGCTGGTTTTAATGGATTGCATATGCATCATGGCATTTATACACGTCACCACCATGTGGTTTCAACATGTTTTGAGCCTCTTTGAAATTATTAGGTAAACGTAAGATTTTTATTTTGTGAAATTTGAAAAATATTATAGAAATTAATGGAAAGTTAATCCTTCCATTCCATTGTATCAATAAGTATCCCAGAATTTGTTCAGATTTTTTGGAAACCAAGAACAGCAAAAAACTTAATCATTAACATAAACGTCCCAGATTGCAAATATGAAACTGAGTTGCACCATAATTTATCATTCACCCTGTAGAATTTTATAAACGTGTAGGTGCCGTACTAACGAAGCGTTTACCTACGGTTCTTTATCCATTCATGTCTCTGAAAAAACCTCTAAAATGATCAACGTTTTAACGAGTACAATAGTGATACACGAAAGGGCGATAACGTGAGAATCTGTTAATAATAAAGATCTTTGTGTTTTATTACAATTTTAACGAAATTAATATCAAATTTTTCTATTGGTATTCAAAGATTTCTAGATTATACGCTAAGCAAATTTAGGGGATTGTACTTTATTGTCGTTGGAATCGGTGTGGTAATTCTGAGTATATCTATCTTTTTCGTAAGTGAACCTATGGAAGTCATAGTGTGGAGTGTCGCGAATGTTAATTATATAACACATGACTGTTTATTATTTTCAGGTTTTTCAAGCATTTGTATATCATACATACGATAATGAACATTTATACGTAACATCGGCTCTTTGCTCAATACTCTACATATTTTACTGGAATTTTTTGATCCAACAGGTGATAGATAGTTATAATAACGTTTTTATTCAGCTGTAAGTGAATGTTATTTACCATGATATTTAAAATATTAAATTTTTCTAAAAAGTGTTATTCAAAGTTATGATCTTTTAGGTATACTGTAGATTGGTATAATGCACCTTTATGCGTACAAAAATTGATCTTGACGATGATGATAAAGTACACATCGCCCATTTCTATTAATATGTTCGGCGTTTATTCTCCGTCAATGAAAGGATTCTTGTCGGTATATAATTTGCTTATGAACAATAATGCACATAGAAAGATCGAAAAAAAAGGTGTTGAATTTATTTATGCGTTTCAGTTATTCAAGGCAACGTGGTCGTACTTTATGGTACTCAGTTCAATCCAAACGAGAAATTAATCAACGAAAGATATGTATTTCGAACAATATATCTATACATATAAATAAAATTGTAGTGTCTGTCTGTGATTTCGAAATAATGTTTTTTTTTGCACATGTATGGTTTTTCGCACCTTGCTAAAACCCAAACACGCTTTTGTAAAATTGTTGTCTGTCAGTCTATCTAAGTATCTGTTTAAACGAGCTAATCTCCGAAAGGAATGAACCGATTTTGACGAAACTATCATTGGCTAATTCAGAATTTATAGAGCAATAATTTAGAGTTCTTTTTATTCTGGAAATATTCAGAGTTATCGCGTAAATTTAGAAAAACTGTAAAAATCAGACACTAATGAGGCAACTTTTTTATAGTCCGCTTATACAGTTCACGCATTTACACATATACATCAAACTGATTTTAATTGTGAAAATCGAAGAGAGAGGCGATCAATCACAATATTAAACAAACTTATGTTTATTTATACGCATGTAATACAAACGAAGTCGCGGGTAATCGCTAGCACTAAATAAAATTAACACGTCTGATAAACACAAATCCTGCACTCGTACCTGGTTAGCAACAATATTTCCTCAATTAGATTTCTCCAACAAAATAGAATGAACAATGATACTTGAAGGAAGTGACTTCAGCTAGCTTCCTCTTCGACCGATGAAAACAGACTGACCAGCAGTAAAGAATATTTTTTTCACAGACCTAGATGGTAAACAGAGGTAAAGATTTTTAGAAAAAGAAATATCTTACAGACTATAATTTTCTTAATAGCTCCGCTTACATTGTCACAGAGTGAGAAGAAATCGATCGGTAAGTTCTTCCACCCTATTCAAATATTCATAAATAATCAAGCCTGTCATTCTTTTGAAAAGAAAATTTCATTCCTTTGAAAACTTTGTTCTATGCACGATATTTCAAGAAAAATAAAGTAAAATTTATTCAGAGGGTAGGTGACATGGGAGGGTGCATCGGTGACTAGGGATCAGTTGCAGTTGAACCGTTGCACACGATGGATCAACTACAAGTTTATTACAAACAGACTATATTCGTGTTATCAGCAGTAGGTCTGTGGCCATATCAAAATAAATACTTCCGATCGGTTTACAATATCTTCATCTTCTTCATTTATCTTTCGACATTGTGTGCTGAGGTAAAATTGATGTACTATATTCAGTGTCCATTCGAGAAACAAGTGGCTTGTTGCGTGCCATAAGATTCAAGCGTAGTTGGTAAAGCACACGATACCGCGTGATCGAATATTTCTAAATACAATAACTAATATTCATCGTTGCTTTTAGATAGCCGCTATTGCGAACACAAAACATACCCTGCATTATTTGCTGAGGAGTATATTTTACATATCAGTGTTTATGGGTTCGCTACTGAAATACGGTACATATTGCTTACAAGCCGATTCAGTGAGTTGTGAAGATTTCAATTGCATTCTATTTCAATAGACATAGTGTAAAAGGAATTTTCTAATTGTCAGATTAAACAGCTGATGGATGAAGTGAAATGCGATTGGAGAACAGAAAATGATGAAATGCTTGAAATTATGAGAATTTTCGCCAATTCAGGAAAACGTTACGCCTTTTATTTCGCGTGTAAGAAATTATTCTTGATCATATATACATATTCATCGTTAATTGCAATTACCACAATGAAACTTAGCGTGTCGATATCGTAAAAATGTTACAGTGATTTGCTTTACACCAGCTTTCATAATCATAGCATGCGAGACGTGCAATTATATTTTGGATGCAGTCGCACCGTTAAATTATACTCGTCCGTACGTTATACCGGCAGTATACTTCGTTGACGAAAGGAAGTATCGTTTTTTGATCCTAATATATCAGTCTTTTACATTCTTGGTATCTGCAGCTGCGTTTGTTGGGACAGAGTCATTGATTATTATGTGGCTGCACCATTTCAGTGCTTTATATGTATTCGTCAGGTAAATCTGATAAATCACTGTACACCAATAGTTTATTTTCTTGCAGCTATTTTAAATATTTATCATATTAACACCTTGCTGACCGGCTCTTTCGAACCAAAACCCTTTCGTGCATATTTAAATATGAAATAAAAACTTCGGAATAAAATTCAGTACACTTTATTTAATAAATAAAATAAAACAATCTATGGTGATGTTTTAAAACTTGGAATTGCTCTCGAACCTAAAAACTGTATAAACTAACGTAAATGCAGACACGAGTCGACTTGTGACGGTCCAAAATTAGTAAGATGTTAAAAATAGCAAAAGAAGAAGGCGATCAATTTAAATAACAAGGCATGATCCGCTATCTTTTAATTTTCAAATCACGTTAAATTAAAGAAAAGATGATTTTTCACCAAATATATGAATTTCTAATTGTAAATATCTTAATTTACAGCTATTACATTTACCAAGGTGTCATGGGACTTATCACTCACACTTCAAACAAACATTCAAGTAACAGTAAGAGACTCTTGATAACAGCTGTGGTTATCCACAGAAGAGTAATAAAGTTAGTATATTATTTTTACTATGGCTATAACGATTCGCCATTATCACTTCTGTTAATCATGTTTGTTCACAAAGGTATATGGACATTTTGGAAAATATTAAGTCATTATCGTACGTCTTTCTTCTTCTATTTGCTACGATTAGCCAAAGCATTAACCTATTTATTGTGAGTAATTCATTTTCTTAGTTCTGTAGAAATCTCATAGATAATTCTCAAAAAAACGCTTCATTTCAGCTGTCTCAAAGCATTTTTAAATTAGAGGCAAATAAAGATACAGTGTTGTGTTTGGCATTTGCATTTAGCGAACTGATATATATTTTTTACATGATCTACATAATGCAACAATATTTAAATATTTCTGAAAACGTTACTTTGCAGATGTAAGTTGAAACTTTTTATTGTTGATAATTGTATACATAAGCATTGCAATAATTAGATCAATGGTCACAGATACAATACCAATTGGTACGAGACTACTTTGTCTACGCAAAAATTCTTGTTGTTCGTTATGATGAAAACATCCAAAGAGCGTCGGTTCAATTTATTCATCTTCGTTAAACCAAACCTCGAAGGTTTCGTGCAGGTACATTGTTTTCTAATATAAAAGTTTGTTTAAAGTAACCGTTGAAAAAATGGCAAAATATTTTGATTAAAAGTATTATACAGGGTGTTCTACAACTGGTGGAACATTTGTTAAGGGGTGATTCTAAGGATCAAAATAAGACGAAAATCAAGAATGACGAAATAGCATTTGCGGTTTTGTTTTCCAGTAATTCACGTTTAAAAATTCGAGTAAAAAGCGCCTAAAACCTGCAATCTACTCAACACAGACAACTGATCGTCAGGTCAGCACGGATGGGTACAGTCATAACCAAGGCTCATTGAATAGTGGAAACTTACCTCGTGCTATCCTGGTTCTCGGTACAGGAAAACCTGGATAAATGCAACGAAAGAATGCTTGGATAAGTGCAACATTAAATGCCCAGAATCGAGACCTTGCCTGGATAAATGCAACCACTGGGTCCCAATCTCGGTTGCATTTATCCAGGTTTGACTGTACTACAGCATTCAGCTTTCTCTTCTTGGTTATGACTGTACTCACCCCTGCTGACCTGACGTTCAGTCGTCGGTGCTGGGCAGGTTGCAGATTTCAGGCGTTTTTTACTCGAATTTTTAAACGTTAATGACTGAATTTTCGTCTTATTTCGATCTCTAGAATCACCCCTTAAAAAATCTCCCACCCGTTGTCGAACACCCTGTATAAGCGATGAAAACTTTCGCATGCGTCGTTAGTCTCAGAAAAAATTTCTAATTATTAATTTCATTATTTCCACGTTTATGTTAAACAGAATTTATAATATTCTCCTTGTCACGAAGCAATCGTCTTAATGAACTTTTTCAGATGTTAAAAGTGTGCATCTCCTATTTCACGGTAATGGCTTCTATAGAAGGACGACAGAAATAGTATTGATGTAACATTATAGAAACATGTAATAGAAAATTAATTACTTAAGTAATTAACAGTATTTAACATAGAATGCACAGAAACGAATGAGACTTCACACTTTAGTACCTTCGTAATTGAGGATTATTAAATTAATCACGAACTGGATGGAACGAATATTGAATTAATTCAGCGGTTATAAAAATGTAATCCATGGGTGAAATTTGATTTGTATTTACTTTGATGTCAAACCGAGCTTTAATATTACAGGAATGATATAATGAAGTTATACTTAACTAGAGAAAAGTTTGCATTGCAAAGTTTGCATTGAAAGCAGAAACTATAACTAGAAGCCGTAAACTAAAAGCAGCTGTTAGTAACACTCGAAGTTAATAAAATTTGCATTACACGTTGCACTTTCATCATTCTGCCGCTATCACGAGCAGGGTTTATAGACGCCGATTAAGAAAACTACTCCCGTTTTCTTACCCAGAGAACTGTAATCATCTTGTTCGAAATTATCTTCATTCTGTGGTGTACTGTGCACTTATATTTTTACACGACACAGATAAGAAATGAAAATTTGCATTAGAAATTAGATTCGCCCTTCCAACTTCGCTAGTGAAGCAGAGAATATTATTATGTCGAATGAATGTAATTTATGCCTCACGCACCTTTTGCACCTGACATAATTGCAGTTACACGGATCAGAAACAACCTTCTTCGTGTAAACACCAGGGTAAACGCTGTTTAAATTACACCTCCTGCCAATCATTTTAAGCCACCCTTCGAGTAAACTTAATATCAGGTAATTCAAAGGTAAAAAGTGGAAATAAACAATGGAACAAGGATGTACTTTCGAGGGTGAATATTCTATGGAATTGACTATTGATTTTGATCAATAATGGACATCGAGAGGGGTGAATACCGTGGATTTAATTAGAATTCTCTGAAACAACTCAATTAGAAATTGTATCAGGGATTCATGTGATTGATATACATAAGGAAAATTTTTCAGCGCTATCGATAAATTATATTATTCAGGTAAATATCACATAGTTTAATAACATTTCTTGGTAGATAATTTAAAAACAAAAATTAGCACAATTTTTATTTTGCAATATTTCAACTTTCAATAAATTGTAATGCAATTTAATCAGACGTTTGTAATATTATGTTTGTAATATTTATATGTAATTTAAAATGTATTTTCAAATAACACTTTTCAGGTCGAACATAAAATGGAGCAGTTATTCTTTGGTTCTGCCGTTCCTAGCGTAGACCCCTGCTATATAGGGCCGCTTTTACGACTTGCCACTCAACCGAAACGTATCTACTAAAAATCGGGTTTGTAAACGTTATATCTTAAAAACTAATTAAAATCGGGTGTATACATTTTTTCCATTCAACTTACATAAAAGGTAATGTACGATAGTATTACTTATATGGGAGTATAAAAATGTTAAGATTATAATATAATTGAAACTGAGAATTCATACGCAAGAACAATATGGTGGCCCTGAAAAGGGCCGTTTTTATCGAACAAGAATGAACGACGCTTTAACCACCAAAACCGTAGAGGGTTCTTCCTTGGCGCTTCAAGGCATAGACGACGTCCATAGCCGTAACGGTTTTCCTTTTAGCGTGCTCAGTGTAAGTCACAGCGTCACGGATAACGTTTTCCAAGAATACTTTGAGTACACCTCGAGTTTCTTCGTAGATCAAGCCAGAAATACGTTTGACTCCACCACGACGGGCCAGACGACGAATGGCCGGTTTCGTGATACCTTGAATATTATCACGAAGAACTTTCCTATGACGCTTTGCTCCTCCTTTTCCCAACCCTTTTCCTCCCTTTCCACGACCAGTCATAATATAATTTTCTCTCAAACGATTATAACACAACGATCAAACGTTTGGAACTACGTTGCGAAAACACGAACGTGGCTCTTTTATAGAGCGGCAGCTCTGCTTCCCCCTCCACCTTACTTCTACCCAATCAGAAGTTCGCTGCGCATACGTACGAGTTACCGGCTAGGAGCTACGGGAGCTATGGCAACTACGTAATTGTCTCGTCATGTGCATGTTAGAATTTACCAAAAGAATTAGTGTATAATTTATGTGAAATTGAATTTTTTAATTTCACTCCTTATGTATACTGCTTGAGGGACATCATGCTGTATTTACAGAAACCAGCCATCTCATTCTGAGATGGCGCATACACCGCCATGGATGTGTAATACGCTGAATTCACTCTAATAGTAGCAACTTTCTTTTGCATATATCTCGAAAACTAAAGCCAAGCGGCGGTTAAATGTATAGGAAAAAGTTTCTTAGAATCACCGTCTCAACAACATATTAAAAAATGAGCGAAATCGGTGGAGTTGATGAGCTATCGATAATTACCGATTTTGTTAGCGCGTCTTCTCTCTTTTCTCTTTGCGCATGTATATATGCAAATATGTATAGTGCACCTATGACAAGATGTCCCATGAGACAAATGCAAATGCGGCCTTCTCATGGGACATCTTGTCATCGGTGCACGGTACTTACTTAAGTATGTATGTATGTACATATACCGCAGTTCACCAGAGTCCATAACTGCGAAAAGACCAGTTTTCGTTCTTCGCTCATCTCTAGTGCGCATCTTCATCCTGATTGGCGATACTCCCAAACGAAGTGGAAAGCGATTAGCAGAGAGCTCGCTGCGTTCCCCCACCATCTTCCAATTATGGACTCTGGTGAATTGCGGTATACATACACAGCCGACTCCAGTCGGAAGAAGACATCTTATTTTCATTCTATTGTGATCTCTATATTTCTAGGTTCAAGAAAATTTCGATAACAGATCTACGTTAATATTTTGTTTATGGCAAAAAGGTTATGACGCAGTAGTCAGCTGATAATGAGAAGTTAGCTTAATTTATCTGTCAGGACGCCATTGTTATTGTATTGTTTGTCCGTTTGTATATGATAGCGTGTCTCGCAATTAATAGTATTTAGTGTAAATTGTACGTTTTATTATATCGTTCAATAAATTGAAGGGACAAAAGCACTGCAATGGGTCTCATTTGTTCTACTGCACAGGTAAAAGAAATAAATAATGTTGTTTTTCATAGTTAAAAGTCATAATATATATACCGTATCTTTTTACATTTTTTTATGCATCTAATTTAATCAGCACAGTGTCTATTTTTTTAATTTATTTTTTCGTCGATAAATCAGTATCGAAAAAAATTTATAATGAATTATGGAAATCTAACTATATTTTTAATTATATTATTAGTGTATATCTATATATTATATTTAATTCTTTGACTGCGAAAGATGTATATATTTGTACATATATATGCTCTCATGCATTCATCATATATACAACAAACATAAGTATATGCCACTAAATTTTTCTCAAACACATTTATTGTTTTACTAAATTGCTACAGGTATAATGTCACATACATGCTATGTCAAAATCAATCTAGTAACCAAATATCAAAAACTGTTCTAAAAATTTTCTTATTTTTAACAGTGTAGTTTTAATTCTAGAACATCATTTCGCTAAACACTGATGGTTTTGTTTTATAGTACATCACAGTCAAATGGTTAAAAGTGTTAAAAGAAAATTTTATTAAATTGTTATTAACTTTGTGACCCTAAGATTGTTTTTTAAAACTTGCCATCCAAAAATTGTAAATCTCTGATGTTTCAGTATAAACATTAAAAGGGTAAAAAAAAAAATAAACTATATATAATATCAATTTATGTTTTATCATATAGCTTGCTTGTCTTTGTGGGAGCACAGCCTGCAGTTTCTGTTGTTCCCAATGTCCATCATGCCGTAACAGTACAAGTACCCGCATTATGTATGCATTATTACTAATGCTGGGTACTATTGCTGCTTGCATTACCTTGGCTCCTGGTTTACAGAATGCCCTTAAAAAGGTATCTTGAAATAAGATCAAATTATAAAATGCAAATGTACATATTTTTTATTTGTGTTATATTTATAGGTTCCCTTCTGTTCTAATGGTACAAATTATATTACATCAACATTTACTGTTGACTGTGAATCTGCTGTTGGTTATTTAGCTGTGTACAGAATATGTTTTATTATAGCTCTTTATTTCTTTTTGATGTCAGTTATGATGATTAGAGTAAGAAGCTCTAAAGATCCTCGGGCTCCTATACAAAATGGGTATGATAAAAGCAATTCATCTAACAATGTATTTTTGATTACTAATATTGTTATTAAATTATTAAATTTTTATTATAGGTTCTGGGCTATTAAGTATCTTTTAATAATTGGTGGAATTATTGGTGCCTTTTTCATTCCTGAAAGGTCATTTGGAATAACATGGATGTATTTTGGAATGATAGGAGGTTTTCTTTTTATTATTATTCAATTAATTCTTATCGTTGATTTTGCCCATTCATGGGCAGATGCTTGGGTGGGAAATTATGAAGAGACAGAATCAAAAGGATGGTATGCTGCGCTTTTAGGAGCAACATTGTTCAATTATGCTGTTTCTATCACTGGAATTGTGCTACTTTTTGTATATTTCACTCACGTAAGATTTTACTATCTTCTGACATAATATATCTATGTTAACAGAATTTAAATTTGTTTTTTATTTTTAATTATAGGCGGATAGTTGTTCTGTGAACAAATTTTTCATATCTTTCAACTTGATTTTGTGCGTAATTGCTAGTATTATATCTATTCTTCCAATTGTACAAGAACATTATCCACGTTCTGGTTTGCTACAATCATCTATTGTTTCATTGTATGTTGTTTATTTAACTTGGAGTGGAATTTCAAACAGTCCAGGTAGATGTTTTACTTTAAACAAAATATATTTTTTATATGTCTTTATAATAATAAATTTTTTGTTTACAGATCTTAAATGCAATCCCGGATTTTTAGAGTTAATTTCTGGCAATGCACGAAATCGTGTTGCTTTTGATAAAGAAAGTATTATTGGTTTAATCATTTGGTTCAGCTGTGTATTGTACAGTTCCTTACGTACAGCATCAAAATCTTCAAAGATAACAATGTCAGAGAATGTTTTGGTCAGGGATAATGGTGCTGGTATGTATAAATATTGCCTGTATCTGAATTACAATTAACATATGTTTTCTGCCATTGAAACTAAATAATTTCAAAGTAACTGTAATTATATACCTAATATGCATGAACTAATATACATAATATAAAGATATTTAGATTAAAAAAAAAATTAATATGCTTTTAAACATATATTACCAATTTATTAAAATTCCTTTAATTAATTATTGTTTTTTTGTACAGTTAGGAATACAGAAGACCAGAATCTTATAGACAACGGAGGTAGGCACACACTATTACATTAAAATAAACTTTAAATTTGATATCTGTATCTTTTCTCTTTTATTTTTACATATCCATACAAGTTTATTAGTTAGTTTTTAATTTTTAGTACAGATGATTTATGTAGTAGTTATTGCGTGTCAAATGTAACATATACCTTTTGGAATAACAATATGTTTACTTTATAATTAGCGTGTGTCTGCTTTCACTGTATTGCATATTCTTTATTTTAATTCTTTTATACTTCATTTTTCTTCATTTTTTCAAAATTAATTGTACATCAAATCTATATGTTTGATTCGTGGTGGAGGTTTTTTCGTATTTCTACCATGTCTATTGAGGCTTGGATGCCGACGTATCGTGAGCATTGTAGCTCTGTTCATCAGGGTAGGCCTGAAGATTCGGTAGAAATCCGAAAAGGTCTCCATTATGATCCCATATCACCATGAAAGCCTAAAAACAAAACTATACGATTGATTGTACATAATATTACCATGCTAATGATCGTAACAAACATATTTGAAAATATGATAATTTACAGTATATAGAAATTTTCTTTAGTTATTTCTTGTTTTCATAAATATAATTAGACTATACTCCAGTAGAAGGCCGTAATCCGGATTCTGAGGCTGGTAACGAAGCTAAAGTTTGGGACAACGAAGAGGAGTCAGTAGCTTACAATTGGAGTTTCTTTCATCTTATGTTTGCTCTTGCTACGTTATACGTCATGATGACACTTACGAATTGGTATCAGTAAGTATATTATCATTTATCTTATTATTATTCAGTTTGTACATGCACTAATAACAATCATTTTATAGACCAAATTCCGATTTGGATACATTTAATTCCAATACTGCTTCAATGTGGGTGAAAATTATATCTTCATGGATGTGCTTAGGATTATATGTTTGGTCATTGATCGCTCCTGCAGTACTGCCAAATCGTGATTTTTCTTAAGTATGTGAAGAGCTTCAGTACAGAAACCTAACAGGTATATAAATTCATATATTATGGAATAACTATCGTTGAAATGCTTTTACATATATTAATTATATTATGATTTACTAGCTTCTGAAGTAGAGATGCTGAAATCGATAATTTTGTTAAGATATCGTTAAGCCTAATGGGGAAACAACTGACATAAAATATAACGCATAACTTGATCATCCAAATCTACTTTTGTTTTAATTTCACATAAAACTTAATTTAACCTACCTCCAAATAAATATAATTAAATTTGGCTAATAACATTACGTATTTAATTAAGTTCCCTTAAGTTGGACTAGGTTTTTTATTTAAATTTTATTTACTTTTCTCGTTTCTATTCTGTTTAATGATATCATACTGATAAAATATCGATTACATTTCGTTATTAATGATACTATCTATATTCATCGTAACGTTATCGATACTAGCACCTCTCTTTTGAAGTATTGAATTTAAAAGACATGTATTGTCAAAAAGCTCTGTAATAGAGTTATTTCAAATGCAGTTATAATGTACCTTTTTACAACTACTTTGTTTGTTTACAATATGTAACTGAAAGTATATCAGTAATATATTTCTAATTAACAATTAACTAACGTATAGCTATATTAGTGCAATAAATTATTACATGTATTTATTACACAATTCTGCTTTAATATACCTATATAAAGAATATTCTTAGAAATAAGAATACTTTACGATAAATAATAGAAGCTTCTATTTTTGAATACTTTGAAAGATTGAAATTGTATTATTTTTATACATTCTGCTGATTTTAATTTGAATGTTTTTATCATGTAGATTATTTTCATCTCTTAATTTTATTTTTCATTCTTTTATGTTACATTTTATTTTTTTAAATTTCATTTTCTGCCATGTCTGTGTATTTTATAGCTGATGATACAATTATCATTTATGAATGATTACACTGTAAATATCATTAAACACTTTGTTTTTATATTTCTTAAGATACTACAATAATACTATTATTGCATTTTTACATATATGAAGTATTATAATTAATATTCTGTTAATGAAGGTTATTCAAATTTTTATCAAGAGAGATTGAATTTCCAAAATTATTTTCAAAATGTTGCTTAAATCAGGTTAAAATATTTTAGTAAATAAGATGAGCTTTAAGTGTACTTACTGTATTCTTCTTTCTTACAAATATGATTATATATTTTAATTAGCATAAGTTGTAACATTAAAGAATATCATAGTAGAACATATTTAAGTATTATACATGTATGCATATACATTTATGAATTTCATATTTGATCTGTTGAATGTAATAACAACTGTATACAGATATGTTCTTTTCTCACAATACTCTGTTTCAATTTAGATAATAAAGAAAACAAATTCAGTAATGTTAAGTAATATATAAATATATAAGTACTTTAATAACAGACAACAACTTTAGATTTAATTTGATTTTCAGTTTAAACATCCCATACCTCGTTAATTTAACTTAAAGTAATTTGTTGCATTGTAGTTGAAGGTAAGCCGTTTGAAGATATGTTTGCAGCAAACAGTGCTTACAGTTAAGAAATAGGATCAAAAAATATAAATGCTTGACATTCTTTCCCTTCTACCACGGTCATATACCGAGGTCTACAAATTTGTGTGGTCGGATGATTCCAGAAGATGATACAGAATTCAGACTAATAATAATTAATTCATTGGCTTACCACGATAACAGGGCTAAAGTTCTGAATGTCTCCGATGGCCGATCGACACGAAATTTGGGGGTAGTTTGGCTGGGGGCAAAGAATGAGGGTTCAGGTAGTTAGTAGCAATGACTACAGATGGATCTGTACTCATTGTACCAGGTGATTTGTAAAATAGTATCCGTTTATTGCACTGTTCGAATAGGTTATGATGTATAAAAAGAATATACAAAATGTTTGGTTAAAATATTAATGATTTGCTAATACAATTTAAAAAGTGCTGAAATACGCTGATGATGGGTTCTGATCACACTCATAGACGATGGAGCAATTTGCGAAAAGTATTGGAGAGATCCGGTCCTTTTTGCAGATCGGATTTCGAACCATCGTCAGAAACTTTACAATTTATGCTGGATAATTGTAAGATTCTTGTTATCGGAGCGGGTGGTTTAGGGTGCGAATTACTTAAAAATTTAGCGTTGATGGGATTTAGACAAATTCATGTAATTGATATGGATACAATTGAATTGTCTAACCTCAATCGGTACGAAAATATAATTTAAATACAATCTCTAGATTGTAATTCACTGTAAAATTGAAAAAATCTTATTGAAAATATTACAGGCAGTTTCTATTCCGTCACAATGATATTGGTTTATCAAAAGCAGAGGTGGCTGCAAAATTTATTAATGCTAGAATTCCAGGCTGCAATGTTGTATCGCATTGTTGTAAAATACAAGACAAAGATGAAGAATTTTATAGACAATTCCATATAGTAATTTGTGGCCTGGATTCGGTAGTTGCAAGAAGATGGATCAATGGTATGATATTGTCTCTCTTGGTTTACGAAGATGGAGAATTAGATAGTTCTAGTGTAATACCGATGATTGATGGAGGTACAGAAGGTTTTAAGGGAAATGCAAGAGTAATACTTCCTGGTTTAAGTGCTTGCATTGAATGCACTTTAGATTTATATCCCCCTCAGGTGAATGTTATAAGCAGATATTTTCATTGTTCACATGTTATAATCTTTCTTAATCGTGATCCAATTACCTTGGTATACAGGTCACATATCCATTGTGTACAATAGCAAATACTCCACGTCTGCCGGAGCACTGTATAGAATATGTCAAAGTAATTCAATGGCCAAAAGAGAATCCATTTGATTGCCCAATTGATGGCGATGATCCCCATCACATAAACTGGATTTATGAAAAATCTACTGAAAGAGCAGCACAATTTGGTATACAAGGTTTAACATACAGATTAGTACAAGGTGTAGTTAAAAATATTATACCAGCGGTAGCATCTACAAATGCTATTATTGCTGCAACATGTGCTACAGAAGCATTTAAACTTGCCAGTAGTTGCAGTGCATCACTAAATAATTACATGGTAGTTGTTATAATCATAGAAATTAAAAATATGATTTTAAGGTATATGTAATAAACAACTGATTCCCTTTCAAAGGTACTCAACAATCTAGATGGAATCTATACTTACACTTATGAGGCAGAAAAGAAAGAAGACTGCGTTGCCTGTAGTCAAATTCCAAAAGAAATTGATATTGATAGCCCCAAATGTAAATTAAAAGATTTAATAGAGCTTCTCTGTGAAAGATCTGATTTACAGATGAAAAGTCCAGGACTTACGGCATGTATTAATGGCAAAAACAAAACTCTGTACATGCAAACTGTACCAAGTATCGAGGAAAAAACTCGAGAGAACTTAACGAAAACGTTAGTCGAGCTTGGATTGAAAAATGGCAGCGAGATAAATGTTGCTGATATTACTACTCCCAATGCAGTTGTATTAAAATTAAAATTTGTATATTCTAATTCAGATATGTGCTAATCGAAAAAAAAAGAAAATCCTTCATTTTGATCACGAATTTATCACTATACGTCATCATATATTTACAGTACTTATATTGCTTTTAGTTTAAAAAATGATGTTGAGCCAAAAATTCATCAACATTGTTCTTATCAAAATAATAAAAAATAAAAACACTTTTTCATTTAATACCATTTTTTTTTTACGAGCCTAAAAATAGATATCACACGATGATATTATTTTAAACATTGTTTTAATTATCAATTCATTCGAATTTTATGTAATAAATTGGTATTGCTTGCCATTTTTTTCTTTCTTTTTTTCTTTTTTTAAGCTCTAATCTTTTTGGCTATTCTTAAGTATAACAGAAGCAAGTATTAAAACTATATTAGTTTATATGACATACCTGTTACATTAACAATAAAGACACGGCTGCAAATATGTTTCTATATTTCTGATGTCTTGTTTTTCATTTTCATCGGAGATTATACCATAGAAAAATTAGTAAATCATAATCCATAAAATTCTATCTTATTTGTAGTTTTTTTAATCGACGAATTTTTTGTATCTTGTTAGAAATAGACAGTATCTTACAGATTATGCATTTAATGTATCAATCTTGAAAGAGAAACAAGGAGCAGTATAATGATCTGCGAAATATGCACGTGTCAAAATCTATACTTGTTAGCTTGTCATTAATTTTTTTTTCTTTTAATAACAATTTCATATCACCATATTAAATTTTATGTTAAGTATGAATTTTGTGCACAGTCCTCTTTTGCGTTTTAGACACTAGTAGTTATCTCAGGTGCAATAAGAATATTCTTACTTTCTATTATTTAAAATTTCATTAAAATGATAAAAACTTTGTCGAAGAAGACGTATGGATTCAACCTTTCCATACTTATTTTAGTTTTATTGCAAGTATGATACCAAATATAATGGGAAGATACTCCGATCAGGGCAAATTAAGGACAGTGCACTATGACTTAAGATATCTTTTGTTTTACAAGCACACTCGGTAACATTCGACATATGCACAACTTGAGTAGAAAAAATATCTATAACAGATACATTATCTATCCTCCTTATTATAAAACTATTATTACATCGTATTAATATTTTATAATTTCCGCTTTTTTACCTCGGCAAGACTATTACTCCCCATAAAATCTCTTGTCCTCTGAAAGGTTCTATTTTTTTTTGTCTCACTCGAACGTGGATAATACGAAATGTACCTGTGATTAATGTTTAACGCGCGTTAAAATTTGCTCAGACACAAATTAAAGAGAATAAAATATTTGTTGATGGTCGGGGAATTCTTGCAACGAAATACTCCGAGGTTAATTGGCATTTCATCATTTATGCGAAATCCGAATATGGACATTCATTCCAATTGTACAATTCGAAATTAGGTGGTTTTTTTATGGTAATAATTCTCATTGATCAGACATTAGATGTAAATCAGCTAGTAGAAAACTAGCAATGGTGTCTATAACGTTTAACAATGCGTTCAAAAAACTATACTTATATTAACTATGATTCTGTTCAAGCAATTTTTGTTTTGTAGTGCAATTAAATTTTAAGTAAACGCGACTTAATTTAATAGTTTTTTTTGTTATAATTTTTATAAAATCAAAGTCGTATTTTATTGGCTTTCGTCACGAAATAAATGCGATATGAATGCACGTGCGATCCATTTTGTGGCTCGGTCAAATTAATTCGCACAAAACAGTCATATATTCTCACCATTATTAGCGAGATATTCACGTGTTCAAATTGTATTAGATCAGCTGCTAAACGTCTTATGAATAATCATTGTTCAGTGTAAAATAATACCATGGTCTGTTAAAAGATACGTCAGTATAAAAACGTAAGTTCCAATAAATGGCGCAGCGTTAATAAGTGTTGTAAAGTCCGATTCTTTCAGGGCAGAATCTGACACTTTTTGAATTAATGTGGATCCAGTTATATCATTAAAAAATCATCAAAGTAGATGTAGCGAGGAGATAACAATATGACGAATTACGATTTATCAGTGAAGTGTTCCGATAAAAGGAAAAATATTAAGATAAGGTGATGTTGAAAAGTGTCTAATTTCTGCTCTGAAGCTACTGAATAAAAGATAACGTAAAGTGCACGATGTTATTAATGTCATGATGAACACTAAAACGGTCGTGTTAGGCCTTGGCATCAACTTCCATTGCTACTTCACCTACAGCTTTTTCAGCCTTCTTTTTCTTCTTCTTTGCCGACTTCGGATTTGCGGAAGTATACAAAAGAGTCTACAAAGATAAAGAAATTAATAAAGATTGATTAGGAAATTGAAAAGAACGTTTAATTCTTACCTTTAATTCGGGATCTTCAACAACACAATCGGATTGATACACATCAAGATCAAAGGGAATTCCTGTTATTTTATGCGGCCCATTAGGCATTAATAGTACCGTAAATTTAAATTGTGCAGCAAACTCATTTGGCTTTTCGTACAGTACCTAGAATATTAATAAAAATATGTAATATAAAATAATCAAATTAAATGACATAGAAAAATTGTATGTTAATATAGACTGACTTGGAATGGTTCGATCAACCTATGATTTACACATTCCACAACCGCCATTTTTGCTTTCTTTTCATCCTCGAAAGTACGTAAATTAAATGGCATAAGTCCATGTTTGTGAGTGACTTCAGAGTAAAACATGCGCGATGCTTTCAATTTTAGCTGATATGTTTCCTCTGTTTTTTTGAATATAGTAACCCGAGTATCCTGTTCTCGGCCTACCCCTTCACCAGTACTAACCAAGACATCCATAGCATATACCTAAATTGAAAAATTTATACATATTTCATAGATGTTACTTTTGCCATTTTTAAAACAATATTAAATGGTTTGTACCTCGTGAGTTTCAAGAGTATACTTTTCATGTTCCTTTTTCTGTGCATCATTGGGATTTTGAATTATAGTTTTTTCTCCGTCTATTTTAAATTGTTTTAATTGATGACTGAGCATTCCTTCAATTGGTTTACATTTATATGCTTCACAAATCTTTTCAACTGTTCCTGTTATTGTATAGGTCTGTAAAGGAAAGTAATTATGTATAAAAAAAAAATACAAGAAAATAAAAAAACCTTAATTTAGGTAAAAAATCATGAACAGCTCACCTCTGTACCAGGCTTTAAAAGCCTTAACGCAGCTTGAGATGCATAATGCGCAGCTAATACTACGTCTGCTTTTCTACCAGTAACTTTTCTTGTCGATGACGAACCTATAACAATAGTGTGTGCCACAACAGCTATAAAGCCATCAATATGTGCCCCAAGATCTCTAAAAATGTAAATCAACAATTACTTTAAAAAAAAAGATATTTTACTTTTAAAATATGATATTCAATACATTATATTAACAAATCATATACCTACACTTTTACCATATCCTCATCTTTAAGTATAAGATCTGGTTCACTTGCAATTGGTGAAAAGTGACAAATACAATTATTAACCGATATGCATGTAGGAAATGCAATTCCCTTCTTCAATTCTTTTTCTTTCTTAAAAACCTTGCTGGTTTCTTCAAGTAATAATTTGTCTCCATATTCACAAATTTCTCTTACTGATGCTCCAACAACACATTTATCTAAAACTTGCTTCAATACTCCTGAAATGATAAAAATGTATTTATTATTAACAATAGATAAAAAGAGAAGAATATTGAAAAAAATTATATTATTTATAATTAAATAGAATTATAAATTTTATTTTACAAACTAGCGATAACTGAGTATAAAATTAAAATAAAAATAAAAACTAACAGGCAATAAAATTGCTCATACAGCGTAAAAATTTTCACAGTTCAATTTTCATTTTCAACGATTGGTCTTTTTACGGAAATGGAAACATTAAGATACAAGAATTCGGAGCGGATTATGGTCACTGCTAAAAATGTTACATTGCGATAATAAAATAAAATCGACGATTTTCAAGGATGCTTAGTGAAAAATAATTAATTCATCGTTCATAGATCATTAAAAAGTCATGAAAGATTGAAGATATTAATAAATTATTGGAGTGTAATAGTCAATGCTATCTATCCCACATGGTAAGGGAGCCCGGCATTAGCGCGCCACATTCCATATGGCCAGGTGGAAAATAACACATTATGATACTCGTGCTTTTACGAGACAGTTTCACTTTTGCTTTCTGGATTTCATTAGAGAACGTTAATTCGTTTTCTTACGATTTACGATCTCGCCGGCCATTTTATACTTGGTGACAACCAAGTCTTCGGCGATGGTCTTCTCAGTCTCCTCTTTGTCCGCCATGTCTTCAGCACACTGTTACGATCACGTGACTTACGACTGCTTTGCAGTTGCTTCCTGTAAACGCTACCGTCGCTACCTACTCTCTTTCGAATAAAACTGTGCGTTCCGAAATGTTTTACACATGCCCTCTATACCGCAGTTCACCAGAGTCCATAACTGCGAAAAGACCAGTTTTCGTTCTTCGCGCTTCTCCAGTGCGCATCTTCGCCCTGATTGGCGATACTCCCAAACGAAGTGGAAAGCGATTAGCAGAGAGCTCGCTGCGTTCCCCCACCATCTTCCAACTTGCGCGTCGCAGTTATGGACTCTGGTGAACTGCGGTATACAGTATCTCTGTTAATTAAGGGCACATGATTATCTTTTCAGCTAGATTTAATAAATTTGCAGAAATGTTTCACTGCATTGTAATTTAAAAACATCTTTATACAATTTTTTGCTACTAATGGCATTGAATTATTCTCAAAATTTAATTAATTTCTTTTTTTTTTATTGATTATGTTCTAACGAATGAAAAAATTATTTTCAATTATTAATATGAAAAAATTGATCAACATTATATATACAATGGGTTTAAAATAATTTATATTTTCCTGTTTTCTACTTTGTGATATACAATGTTGACCGACTTGTATCTATCTTAAACGTGTTTCATGCCTTATGGATCCTGAGGTTGGTCGTGTGGTTCATCGGAACGCGAATTTGATTTGCATCGCTTTAAATTTGACCCATAATCATGTCTTCAGGTAATTCTTTTTCTTAAATAAAATTATGCTACTAATTCTTCGTTCTTTCTATTATGTTCTCAACATTTAAAACAGTGACGTTGTTACATTTTCTTATTTTTTTTTCGCAACATAACCAAACCCTTTACGATACGCAGCATGCTTTCAATATTGTACTATCGCATATTAAAGATCTTTTCAAAAAATGTTTATCCATATTTACGCCAATTTTGACCAGGCAAGAAAGGGAAGAAGAAGAAGTGCAAAACTGTAGATTTGATGGCATTCTTGGCTGATGGGAGTGGAACACCCACTGTGCCAGTGAAACCATCAAGCAGCTGGGCTGATGAAACGGACGAAGAACAGGGTAAAATACAGTCATAACTTTTCTCAGTTTTTATGATTCATTCTTATATTATATTCTTGTGATTGTATATAGATGAATGAAATACATGTACGCTTAAAATTACATGTTACAATTATAGAGTTTGTAAAATATTTATTATGAAATATTATTTACCTTAACATTAGAGCTACCAAAAGGATCAGAATGACTTGTTTCCAATTTCTTATTTTAAATTATAAATTTTATCGAGGTATTTTTGTTGAAATGTATGTTGACTGTTACCGAGCTAAAGAATGAATGTATATATTAAATTGTGTTTCATCCTTTATCTATTTAGCAGTCTATATTATTTTCAACTTAAAAATAAGTGTGCATCAAACGTCGGTAGTTTTAGTGTTAAATATCTACTGCAAAATGTGCTACATACATATTGTTTTGTGGTAGCAGGATTTACATCAAGGAGCAGCAAGGAGCCATTAATTCTACCCACAGCCCCTAGAGCTGCACGAGGACCTCGTGTTGCTGATGAAGATATCCCTAATAATCCACCTTACGTAGCATATCTCACTAATCTTCCTTACGAAGTGGATGAATCATATCTAATTGAATTCTTTGCAGACATGAAGGCTAGTACAGAGCAACATCTTTTTGTCATATCACAGCACATCTCTAAAGTGTTAATTTTAACTTTCCTTGTTATTTCTTTTTAGATTGCTAATATACGTCTGCCAAAAGAGTCGAACAAACCTAAAGGGTATGGATATGTAGAATTCGAAGATCGTCAGAGTTTAGTTGATGCTCTATGTTTATCTAATACAGTAAGTTTGTCGTATATCTTATTGTTAACAGTACTGTAAAAGGAGCTTATATAAATTATTATATTCATAGCCTATGAAGACAAGAAGAGTACGAATTGATGTTTCAAATAGTGTTAACGACGATCGTCGTGGGGGACGCATGGGCAGAGATAATCGTAGAGACAACTATGATGATTCTGAACGTACATCCGGTGATTGGAGAAGTGGTCCACGAGACGAGAACATAGCGGGAGATGGAGACTCGTACCGAAGTCGATACGATAATAGAGATCGAAGAGAGGATCGTGATAGTATGTTTATATCTAAAGGACAATTTCATATTTATTTAAAATTATTAATGCAAATAAAATGATCAAACTAATGTGTTTATTCCGTAGCTTCTGATTACGATAATAAGCCTGGTGCATGGCGTGAAAGTAGCGACAGAGGAAGACCGACGTTCAAAGACAGAGGTGGTTTTAGAGATGACGACAAAGATAAAGAATGGTCTCGTTATGACAGAGGTAGTAGAGACAGAGATGGAGATAAAGGAAGCAGTTTTGGACCACGTCGTAACTTTGATTCTGATTGGAACAGAGATGGTGCACGTAGTCAAGGAAAACCCGGCCTGGATAGTAAACGTAAGCGATTCATCATGTAAAATATAAAAAACAAATATCATGAAAAATTTATATTTTGCAGCTGAAGCAAGAAGTAGGCCGAAACTGCAACTACAGCCTCGTACAAAGCCTATTGATCCTACTGCTGTGAAAGATGAACCTGCAGCTCCAGCGGCAGCTGCTCCTGCACATATTCCCTCAACGAATATATTTGGTGCTGCAAAGCCTGTAGATACCACTGCCAGGGAGAGAGAAATTGAAGAACGTCTTGCAAAATCATACGCGGAATCGAAATCCAAAGAAGAAGGGTAAATTATAAAGCAGCTATATTCTTTGATTAAATTCGTGTTTAAAATATCTAACAATTTTGTTCTATTTAGCGATTCAGAGAAACGCAGTACTAAGGAAGGTACTTGGGGTAAACGTAATGGAGTAAGTTTATCATATGGAAGTTTGTAATACATTGTATGTTATGTTGCTTGATTTATCAAGTACTTCTTGTCTTTCATAGGAGGGTCGCGATGACAAAGAAAAAGAGAGAGGTCGACCAACTTGGCGATCGGAGGATGACAGAAATCGACGAAATGAAAGATCAACACCGCGAAGTCAACCTACTCAGTCTGGTAAAATCAAGTGAAAGCATTTGTAAATAAATATATTAAAACAGTATCAGTGTAAATATTGTTTTACAATTTAGATCAATACGGAGATTCTAAAGGACAGCCATCCTCTCGTGGTGGACCTCCATCTTCAAAAGCCTTTCAGAAATCAACTGAATCTCGGGCTGCTGACAAGTAATGGTTTAATCTTTTGTTATCTTTTTTGTATAAAAAATGATAATGTCTTAATTGCTATATTTCCAGAGATCGAAAAGATAGAGAAAAAGATGATATCAGCAGAATGCCAAAGGCAAAAGATGAACAAGCTCCAGTAAGTGGCAACAAGTTTCCATAGCAGAACTGAAAATGTTAATACCGATAGTGATACTTATGATTATTTATGATTTATTTATTTCAGAATTTCGTAGCTTCCAATAAGTATTCCATGCTACCTGATGATGTGGATCCTGACAATATCATCGATGATTAGTTTTAATCATTATACATCACCAATTAAATTGTGCCACATGCATCATAATTGGTCTATATATGCATATTATTAATTTGTTTTATCTCTATGAAATACTTATCGAATTGAATGATAAATCAAACACTGAGCTCTTGGTATTACTTTACAGGAATTCTTGTTGATTTGTATTTAATCTATTTTATTATTCCTAATATAATTATCTATCTACACATGTATTTACTTTATATTTCCATATGAATATTCAACATCATTAAGTCGATGTGGAAATTCGGATAACTTTAGAAGGATCAATCATCATGATGGTTTTTTTTTCATATATTTAATTCTAAAGATAATTACACCCGTAAGACTTAGGAATTGGGACTTTATATGTCATACTTCACCCGCTGTACAGTTATTGTACGATATGTAACTCATTTACATGTAAAATAACAATGCCAATTTAGGAGAAAACAATTAAAATAATAAGTGTAATGGGAATTTAAATGATGTATTATATTCGATTGCTTGGAATTTGATGTTGCGTGAAATGATTAATAATTACAACAGAACAGATGATCACAATACAAGCGAACATTGAAAAGTTGATGCTATATCGGTATAAGCATAATAATAAATGTAAGTCATTTCTATTGTAACATGAAATGCTATTTGAAAAGGAAAAAAAACGTAAGAAACTATTTTAACTATCACCGTATCATGACAATATAAGAAAGTTGATACATGACTGATTAAAATTTTTTATCGCAATTTTATTACAATAAGTTTCTAAAGAATTATGCATAAAGTATATATTAAAAATTATGTATTTACAATCTTTTTTGAGGTATATACATACTGACTGTTTTTTTATTTACTGCTGAGTAGTTTGTGCTAATTGGCGTAATTGTTTTAATACAGTATCTAAAAGCTTCTTCTTATCTCTCTCGCTCTTTTTTAGTACGGAAAATACCGTCTTTTTATCAGATTCTTTTAACCTGTAAGGATCCACGTTAAAATGTGTAAATATCAATACGTAGCATAGTATTATATTAAACAAAACATGATGCATACTTATCTAACAAAAGTACAGCCATATTTGGAGTTACCAAATTATATTTACTTGATTCATGACCATAATCATGGAAATAAGTAGGCCAGTCCCAACTCATGAATAAGTCTAGTAATTGTCTTAACTGTGCAAAATATTGAAGTAAGGTACCTTCAGGTAAACCGACAACAGGTTCCGATGCAGCAAATTCTAAAAAATTAAGATATTCTAATTTATGTTCGGATCAATTCAATATTATCAAAAGTATTTTGTAATCGTATATTGTATCTTATTTATGAATAAAAATGAAACACATACGCTCACATTGTATAGTGTCTAAATTGACTTGTTGAAGAGCACCCATAGATATCTGCTTTACATCTTCGCTAATTAATATACCTAATATAGCCTTTGCTATATGAGAACAGGCTGATTTACAAGCAACTTGTGCAACTTCTTCCTAAAATGTGCACATTCGTTATTCAATCGTTACATATTTTTATCATATATATATATATATATATATATATAAATATGTTAGTATTTAAAATACATACTGGTAAATTAGTGAAACAAGTAAAAGTACTTTGTAAAAACGCTATGAGATCTGTAATGAATCCAGATGCATGCCCTTGAGGTTCCGCTAAATTCCAATCATAATTTTCTAATTCCAAGAATTCATCAAGTTTGTTTTTCAATTTCTCACAAATTTGTTTCTCGGCATCATCTCTAGCTACTCTAAACATAGCTGATTCGACACCCATACTACTTAACTGTCCTTCGTGTGGTGTTCTATAAAATTTTCATATTGTATCATACTAAATCCATTACTTATAAGTTATTAAATTCTTACCCTGTGATATTAGACACAAATTCTTCTAAATACTTGGTAGATTTTTCAAGGTACCCTGTATTTATTATAATCTGAACAACTTGTAATAACGCTAATGATGGTTTTCGAAACAAGGATGATAAACATCCGCTAAAAGTTCTTGTTAATAATAAATTTGTCGATTTACAGATCATTTCATCTATTTCCGTTTGTGAAAAATTTAAATCTTCTGAAAACTTTAAACAAGCATAAATAAATTCTTTGACTTGTTGATAAACCTTTGGTACCATGTCTGAAAATGGAAATTTTTTAGGAAATTCTGCTCTCTGTAATTCTTCATCGTGATAAGGAAATAAATCAAGGATATTGTCATATTCTTCTTGAGTAGTAACCTGAAAAATATACCGACATGTACACAGAATATACAAAATATATTAATCTTCTTTAAAAAAAAATATAAAGCTTACTTGAATTGGTAAGAAACTATCTTCATCTAAGATATCTCTAAATACTTGAACCCAATGTTGCATCAGAACTTCATTATAATGTACGCGAATTTCTTGCAATAAATCCCATAATTGTCCTACAGAATATCCATAATTCTGTTAAAAGAAAAGCAATAAGAAAATATTTATGGTATTAACAAGAAATTTACAACGTGACAAATTACTCACACTTAAAGTAGTGTTGAACAACATTATAAGATTCTTTATTTTCAAAATGAGAGTTGCGTCTGTACAATATGCCTGAGAAAAGAAAGCTGGTTTTGATATATTATTACAACAGTGCTTACTAGTAATTTTACCGATACTTACGGAATGAGTACGTAATGCATTTACTATTTTTAATAGTGCCATGGACCATAATTCGTCTAAATAAGAACGAGTGGCTAAACCATTGCCAGTATTTAAAATATGATCTTCCACTACAAAGAAGCCCACAATTCCTTGTAGATATGTTTGATAGCCAGTTATACTTTCGTGCTGAAAAAATAATAAATTTAATTGTAAAAGTGGTTTATTTAAAAAATGTAAAGTGATATTTACCATATTAATAGGAGATTGTAAAACTAATCTTCCTTGTTGCTTTCTCTGTTGCCTGTAGTAAGCTTTAAATGTTTCTCCTTCGCGAAGTACAGTATAAATATGCATACAACGGTAAACTGGACTGAAGTCCATTAAATCTTGGGCACTTAATTCTTCTTCGCATTCATTTGACAAGGAATTTGTTACGTGTGGTCTCTTTTTCTTTCGGCCAACAATTTCGGCTTCAATAATTAGCTGTTCTTGAGTCTATTATATAATTAAGGTAATATATTAAAAAATAAAAGAATTATCTTCAAGTGTGATAATCTTACTTACATGTCTCATAGCTACTTCACCAATTTTTGGCGAGTATTTTCTAATATTTTCTAAAAAGTCTCTTAAATCAGACATGGAAGCATCCTTTATATTTTCACGTAGTCTAAAATCATTCACTTAATGTACCTTAATATGTCTTTGTAAACTATTCTTTAGCTAAAATCTGCTGTAAACATAAATGTTCTTTTATCTTGTGACGTTACTCACTGTGGAATTTGTTGAGTAATTTGTGAAGAAAATCTATAATTTGTTACTTTTGGTAAATCATGATGCTCTAATTGTTCTAATGTTTTTAATGCTGGGTAGTAACGTTTATCTTTCAGTTGTTTTTGTAACTTTGCATAGGCAGCTAAAACAGGAAGACACATGGTAAGGCTATCCACTGCTGCAGCCATGTTACTCTCTACTTTGCGAGCTTTAACAAGTTCCTCTCCTTTCTCTATTACTTTGGTGGCAGTAGCGGTAATACGTTTATCAAGTTCTAATATCTCGGCCTGTAGAGAAGTTACATCTTATCAAACAATGCTTCATTTTATATAATAAATAGATTATAAAATTTCAACTAACATTAAGTTGTTGTGCTTGGGAACGAACTTGTAACAGTTCTCTGATCGAGTCTATAAAACCCTGATAATGGTGATTACACATTCTTTCAATGTCTTTATCATGGGCTTTGATACGCTCATCCAATTTTTCCATAAATTTTTGATGTTCGTGTCCATCATAAATTGCTCTAAAAAAGAAAAGAATAATATTTATAATTGTTTTAACTGGTATCTTGAAATGATGTCCCTGTCAAAAATTTATTTATAATGTTAATACCTGAAAACAAGGCCTATACTATTAGTATCTGTGGATTCTATTTCATATAATAAGTATTCGTGTTTTGGTACCATAGTTGATAGTAGATTGTCAACTTGGTTAATTGACAACCTTGACATGATACAACCCTAATTAAATTTCTCTTTATTCCACTATAAAGATATCTACCCTCATTTTCAACCCTTCTAGTGCGCATATGCACGATAATCTGCATCTGCGTAAAGGGGTTGTTTTTGGGAGGCGCGTCTTTTAACGAAATCATCAACGATAAATAAAGTGTACCTACCGAAAAGTTGGACCCAAATAATCATCTATGCCTTCTATTTCTTGAATTAATAAATCGTCCCGCTGCATTCTGATTAAATTCAATGATACTTCAAATAGGAAATCATAAAAAATTTTGACAAGTCGATTTAAACGCTCTTGTACCTATCAAGGTCAAGTGATTTCTATTTGTTATTTAACTGTATATTGTACCAGTATACAAAACTACATGTTATAATTAAAAGATAATATTTTTATCCTTAAAGATGTCATTTTAGACAATAGCATGGTTAGTGTCATTCGTTTAAAATACCATCAGTGTTTACAGATCTAATGAGATCTAACCAGCAATGCTAGAACTTAACCGTGGAACGTGGGACAAATTTTTAGCCCCCCCACAATGTCCCACCGGCTCGCTCTGATATATACATATATGTATTGTACATACATACATACATACAATATCAGTGCTTTTGTCCCACACGAAGGTGTTCGCTGTTCCGGGGGTGTTTCAGACCCCCAAAATCATGACCCCTCAAGAACAAACATATCTATTCTTTCTGTATCTATAGTCACTGACTGTACTAACTTCACATTAATTGTTAATAATTCCTATAAAAGTTGGATCAAAATTTGAAGTGTTGTAAATATTAATCCTTTACCTTGTATTTACCTTATAAAGGTAAAAAATAACGGTGTTCATTAAGCAAACGATTAGAATGAAGTAAATACTATAAATACAGAACACTAACATTATTGTATTTATTGTGCATTTAACGTTTTGGTACATATTTTTATGATTATTGTTCTTAAATGCACTTTATAATGCTTACACAAAAGTTGTTACAACACAGAAATATTTTAAATTCAAGGCTGAGTTATTTATTAAAGCAATATTCAAAACAAGCAACAGCAAGTGGAGCTGTACATTATGAAAAAACCTGCTTTGCACCTCAAAGAAAGAAGAAACCTCCAACGGAACCTTTCATAAAACGTTTAATAACAGGACAGGTAGATGAGGCAATGTTATTATATCCTGAAGTACTGCCTCTTGACCGATTCAAAGATTTCTTTAATTGGTTAGCACCAATAGAAAATTATGTATTAAATTGCGCTGACACAAATAAGAAGTGCAATAAAGAAGAGATATTAAATCATCTTAGAGAATTTGATGTATTTCAAGCATGTATGGAAGAAGATTATGGTTTAAATCTTACAACAACAGAATCATTGAAACTAATAGAAACAGTAAGCACATTACCTTGGTTAGGTACCTATTTAGTAAAGAACAATATTTTACCTATTAAAGTACTTTCTAAGTATGGATCAGCAAGTCAAAAACAAGAATATTATCCAAAAATAATGAGTGGTGAAATTGTTCCCACAATATGTATAAACGAAGGTGATAATGGGACAAATATTAATAACATAAAAAGTTATGCTAAGCGGGGTGAAGGAGATACGTGGTTATTAAATGGTAAAAAAACGTTTGTAATCAATGGGATACATTCTAATCTTTATTTTGTTTTTGCGAGATGTCACTCCAAAGATTCATATAAGTTTAAACCAGATTCATTTTCTTTATTCTTAGTAGAAAAAGATGATAAAAGTGTAACATGTACTGAAGTTTGCGATACAATCGGTAGGCACGAAGTACCTACTTGTACAATTAGCTTTGAAGATACGGTAATACCGAATAAAAATGTTATCGGTGAACCTGGTGCTGCATTTAACATACTAATGGAATTGTTAAAGCCAGGGGAACAAAATATAGCTGCACAGGCTATTACTATTTTACGACATTTCACAGATCAATTAATAGTAGATATTTTGAAAGCTAAACATTTTGATAGAAATCTATACGAGTTTGATTATGTACAACACACTTTGGGCAAAATATTATTTACTCTGTATACTATGGAAAGTATGGCATACTTTACAAGTGGATTAATAGATCAATATGAAAATCAAAATGTTAGCATCGAGAAAACTATTACCGAAAGATATTGTGCAAACAAATGTGTAAAGAGTATTGAAACAGGAATGACACTAATGGGGGCTCATAGTTATTTAAATAATACATCGTATGTACAATCATTTCATGATGCTTTGGCTTTAACAACGCTCGATATGAATAACTTTGATTCAAATACATACATAGGAGCATCTATTCTAAAACAAATTGGAAAGGAGTTCAGTGACTATGTGTACAAAAAAAGGAATTATGTTAAATATCCTATATTTAATATGATGGACACTTTACTTAATATAACTGACTCAAAAAAATCTATTCCAAATTATTTCCATCCATCGTTAAAAGGAGGTGTTGAATATTTTGAAGACAGTATAAATTTGTTTAAGAGGGGTATTAATATATTACTTATTCAACATGGAGCAGAACTTATGCAACAGTATAGTAGTCTTGAAAGAATAACTGATATGATAACAGAAATATATGCAGGATTTGCTAATTTATCCCGTTCATCAAGATCGTACTGTAACGGTTTTCGAAATACAGATATTGAAAAAAATATAGGAGTGACGATGGCATATGTTACATTCATTAATCTAAATGAAATTGTACAAAATCTTGAAAATGAAGCTTTTTATGTAACTGACAATTTTCATAAAGTTACAAGTCAATTAGCATATGAAAAACATAGGTATTGTATTGAACATCCTTTATGTAGAACATTGTTTTAACGTTAAGTTGTTAATAATCTAGCTAGTAAGTAAAATGCATGTGTACACATTTTAGTATGTGTATATGTATTATATATATGTATATATATATGTATCTTTATGATTCAACAATGTGATCAAACATAATGGAATAAGTACACACGATTTCATCATAGCTTCTGTGTTCATAATAAATTAAAAATATAATATCATTTTTCTTACACTATATTGAATTTAAAACCGAAATATCTTTTCTTATAACTACCCTTGTATAATCTCTTAAAAATGTATTTTCAATGCATTTGATACCAGGAATTAAAACTTTATTTTTACATACCATTACCAGGAATCCTAATGTATACAGAAAAAGGTGGACGGTATTTTGCTACAAAGAAATGCAATTATACTTTTCCTAAAGTCGGAAATTTAAAATTCTATTAAATTTATTTTTATTATAATATCACTATAATCTTTCTGCTTGAACAATAACGTGTTCTTCCCTGTATAAATCCATTGGTGACCAACAACTTCTTACACAAGTATATATTAAAACAGTTCCAAATTCAATTTGGAAATTCTTCTCAGTTCGTGGTTGTAGTATCAATTTGGAAATTAATGTAGGCAAAATCTGTACTTCAAATGTCATTTCACTGCCACAATGTTGACATTTTCCAACATAACCGCTGATAGGGTATAGTATCAGTGGCGCAGAATTATCTCGTGAATACCTAAATCATAAAATAATGATTCTATACCAACATATAGAAAATATTACAGAAATGAATGAATAATTCGTTAATATTTTTACCGTAATAGCTGACCAGGATTTTTTTGTATCTGAGAAATGAAGTTATGGAACATCTCATCCCCGTGCATAGGAATGCCCTTTTCATATTTTTCTGAGTCTGTTTCTATAGTTTTACTTTCAGTCGAATCTCCTACAGATTTTGTTGATAAGTCAGGGTTTCTATATTGATATTCAACAATCAAATCACGAATATGCTGTGACAAGTCAGCATTATAATCTTCTTCTTCAACAGAAAGGAATATTTCAGCAAATGATAACTTTGTTTCTGTATTTGATTCTATTTGAATAGGAAATGGAGTTACTTCGCGTAGCAAACTAATTAAATCACATTGAGGCTTAACTGGACTATCAATACAGACAACTTCACTTTCTTCTCCATCAATTTCAGCTGATGCTTGAGGTGAATCTAATCTACCTACAGCACCTATTCCAACTGGAGATTCTACGCTTGTTGGGCTGAAATGAATTATATTTTAATAGTGATTACATGTGCTATGGTATTATTTAATACATACCTATTTGCATTAGGATCATCAACATGTAGTGCAGAGAATTCTTCTCTTATGTTTTTATCTACTTCTTTTTCAAAACCAAACTTAAAATCTGTTGCATTATTGGATAATAAGTTATTTCCATTTTGTTCAGAATTATCATTTAAATTATTATCACCCCAATCATCTGCATCTGATAACCATGATGTTGTAGATGGCACGTGTATAGTACTACTGTCTAAAGCATTTGATTTATATTCATCTTCTAGTACTTGAACTCTTAGACAAGTCCAACTTTCATTTTGATTCCAACAATTTGGATTGATACATGTGAAAATATAAAGTGTTCGATGGTACTTAGAGTTATCTAATGGAACATATAGTTGAAGAGCCAGGAGTTGATACAACCTGCATAATCTACACTGTGGTATTGACAATATATTCTTTTCATAACAATTCTAGAAAGAAAAATCATGTATTTAATCGGATTCAATTTAACTCAACAATTAAAACGATAGTTTAACATAAATATTTCCAACAAACAATATAAAAGTTTTACAATTTTAATACCACTCGCTTAAATCTGTAAAATATAACTGAATGTGTGAAAATACTTACCGGAAATCCACCGATTTTATTTGTCATAAAAGTAATACTCGGCCGATGTTTATCAGTAACGTATTCATCTTCATATCCTAGGTACACTTTAGGACGATTATCACAAGCCATTAAGTTTAATTAAAACTATATTTCTTCATTGGAAGACTTCGTAATAGGATAGAGAATATTTTAATTCTCAATTTACGCTTGTATTCAGCGGTAGACAGCTGACATATATCAGTATCAGTTGACGCGTGCGCTTTTAACAATATCCAGTTCCATTATCGATTTTTGAATACTTTACGTATACACAAATATTACGTGAAAAAACTTAGATTTTATTTTCATAGTTCAACTTTTAATATATACAATAATAACAAAATTATTGAAACATCTAATCAAAGAAAAGGGAATTCAATCATCTATTTTTGTAGGTAAAGCAAAATACGATTCTCATATAAATATTTCTAATTCGTAATTTGTAAAATACAGTTTACGTTCGATAACATTGCAACCAATAACAATCTTGGTTTTCCAAAATAACAAAATCCCTAGAAATTTATCCTAACATAAAGGTTAATACACATTTGTACACGTGTTATTTTTCTGAATAGCAAAAATACAATTTTCTCATTGCATATTGCTATTTACAATTGAAAGACTCCATAGTATTTCAGTAAAAATAATATAAATTTTAAATGTAAAAGAAATAGTTGCAATAGAAACTGTGTTTAGGTTATCGACACTAGGATTGTTTGCAATTTGTGATGAGTGATGTTTCTAGATTCAGAACGTACTAAAACGTATTTTAAAACATACTGCGTTCTGTTTTTTCGAAATCAATCGTTTTTTCTTTAGCAATCGTCATTCCTTTAATTCAACAATAAATTTAAATGAAATAATAAATATAATAGTATGAACTATTGGTTGAGATATCCGATTTTAGTCTGTGACGTCATGCGCAAAACAGTTCATTCCTTATCCCCTCCGTATATCTATCCAGCTGTCCGTGGTTTGGCAGTCCGGTGAACGAATTTCTCAGGGTGATTATCACGTAGGTTTTATGCTGGTGGCCTTTTCCACGAACGACAGTGGAAATTTAAGGTGTCAAAATATCAATACACGATTGAGTGCCAATCGAAAAGCTGTTAAGTAAAATTAATTTTGAACAACCTATAACGATATTGTACGATAGGGTGGCCTTCGGACTGACAAAAGGCAAAGACGTACGCAGTAGAAACAACTAGCGTTCTCGTGTATGTAACGAGGTTGTTGAAGTAACCGTCGCGCGGAGCTGTGATTTCTTCAATCGGAGTGTAGCATTAACGTAAGGTGTGGACGGTATAGAAACGTTCTGGAATTTCCTCGTATCAACGATTTGGGAGCGACGAGCCCATTTGTGAGGGATGTCTACCCCCGCAAGAAGGAGACTAATGAGAGATTTTAAGAGGTACGTTTCGCTCTTAAGATTCTTATGTCATGACTTTGTGTGTCATTTACCGCCATTAATAATTGGAATTTGTATGTTTGTATTTTCTTCTTTCCTATCTTTTCATCTGATTACAATCATTGAAAATTTCTCTTGTGACTCCTCAGGTTACACGACGTTGGAACGTCATTGTGGCCCGTCTTACGAAGTTATTATTAGGAACTTATGATCATTTATTGCGTTTCAATTTATATTCACTTCGAAATATTTTGAATATTAATCGATGAATTAGAAACGTTTGTTTATTATAATTTATAGAATGTTTAGAAAATTGCTTACAATTCGTAAACGAATATGGTTTTGTTTATATTGTGATATTCACTATTGATTCTTATAAATATTCGATTGTCCTCTAGTAACCTTTCTTATAAATTTTATTTTTCTATGAATTAATTGTGTTAGAAATAAAATTCATGATAAAAATAAATAATAATATACCTTATTCGATTTTTGTGTGATTCTAATTACTTTTTTTTGTTATGTAGATTGCCTTTCAGTTTATATCACAAATGACAAATGCATACATAAAAATACTTCAAATTTGTATGTATATATGTACATGTTACTATTAAAAAATGTTTTATATTAAGAGCCATTGATATGACATTGAGACTTACAAGAAATCTTACTTTGTACTAAGTTTAGATTCATTAATCTGTCAAGTAAAATAAACTATTTTATGAAAGTTTTATCAAAGAAATAATATTTTTAAATAATTCTGCTCAATGTTATCTATATTTGTCAAATATAAAATTTTTCTGTTTCAACGTAATTAGTATGTTATTTCTAATAAAATATTATTACGAACAGACTACAAGAAGATCCACCCACTGGAGTATCAGGAGCACCCACAGACAATAATATTATGATATGGAATGCCGTTATATTTGGGTAAGATTAAACAATTCTTGTAATTAATAAACTAAGCGTTTTATATTAATTTCTTATTAAGATAAGTTTTTTCATACATCTTCACCTTTTTAGGCCACATGACACTCCATTCGAAGATGGTACCTTCAAACTTACAATAGAATTTACAGAAGAATATCCAAATAAACCACCCACAGTCAGGTTTATTAGTAAGATGTTCCACCCTAATGTATATGCTGATGGAGGCATCTGTTTGGATATACTACAGAACCGCTGGAGTCCCACTTACGATGTCTCTGCTATTTTGACATCCATACAGGTATTATAAATATTTAATAATCCATGGGGTATAGTTCTGTGTTTCATTGCCCCCAAAATAGGACAAAATATATATATTCTGAAAGGTCTCAACGAATCCTTTCGAATGAGCCTAGTCTCAGGTTCCACAAATGGAAAAAATTATCCTAACCTAACCTAATTAAATCGAGAGAGGAAATGCGATTGAGCTTTGTATAGTTCAGGTCTTAGGAAAAAAAATTGTTTTTTTTCCCTCGGGGATTTGAACTCGCGGTCTCGCTGTCGAAGAGCGAGTGCTTTAATCTATGCGCCACTCAACCGCTATTATAAATAGGAACTTTAAACTTCCTTTTAAGTAAAAAATACAAAAATTCAACCGGTTATAACGTTTTCATTATTCGTTTGGGCAACCTGGGACTAGGCTCATTCGATAGTACTCGTCGAGGTCTATCAGGGGACATATCCTAATTTTGGTTCTACGGGTGGTGAAACATGGAACTGCAGCCAATCCATGTCATCTTGTGCTTTAATATATACTAAAACACTCAGTTTTATTTCATCGATGCTTTTCACATCTATGTGTTTATTGTTTTTCTATATTAAATTTTCATTGATTCATATGTTATCATAACAAATGCATATTGCATGCCTAAAGTTACATAAATTGATGATAAATCATCTCGCAACAGTAAGTATAAGATACAGCAAATTTGATATATGTTTCAGCAATTAATAAAATGTTATTAATTTCATATGTAATCAGTAATTGAAGTTTATTTATTTTTTATTTTTTATTCAATCAAGATTAATTTTCTGTATAAGAACTGCAATTACGTTGTGCATGGCAGTTACTAAATATCAAAAGTAATTTAAAGAATTCATTTCTTATGTTATAAAAATTATTGAAATAATGTATGCTTAACTTTTTTTTATTTTATAGAAATTATATAAATCGCTGAAATGTGTAATTATTTCCTTCTGTTTTCTATCAATTCTCTTGCAAAAACCTGAAAGATCTGCAAGTTTTTGTCTTAACAGCGGTTGCAATTCAGCAAAGTCTGATTCATTAAATTCGAAATTATTTTCATATAATGTCAGTATAAAATTGTGCTTGTAATTTGTTTAATTGACCAAAAAGTGCATTTCTAATCACCAATCCTAAGTAAGAATATCATCTACTTATAATTATAGCCATGCATCATTAAAAAAAGAAAAAAAAAGAAAAGAAACAAAATATTAAAATTATTGTGTAACGAGTATGACTTATGTGGTTGCAGTCGCTGTTAAGTGACCCGAACCCGAATTCACCTGCCAACTCAATGGCAGCACAACTGTACAAAGAGAACCGACGTGAGTACGAGAAGCGAGTGAAGGCTTGCGTGGAGCAGAGTTTTACGGATTAGTCGCAGGCGTTTCTACGATGCTGTTGCAGCATCAATCAGCCACCTACAGCCATCAGATACAGTGAAGAACGTGCAGCCTTACCAAGGAGCTAACGCTAAACATTAGCATGTTTCTTCCTAAAGCTCTATTGAACTACCACAATGTGCAACATTAGACCGAATTTTTACAATGTTGAATAATAAATTATTATAAAATTGTGTATTTATTTATTTCGATATTTGATAACAGATCGATTGTTTCGATATTTGATTGAAATTAGTAATATTAAATATTAGAGGATAATTGATACTTGGCGCTTTTGTTTCTGTGCTAAAAAGAGCATCGTCTTTCACAAGTACAGAAGTGTATTTCAATTAAATTTTAGTACTTCATATAGTACATAAATTCACTTATACATATATTATATATATACATATAAAATATATATATATACACACACCATACATAATAAATACATAATTTCACTTTATAGTTTTATGGTTTTCTTTAACCTTCTGTGCTGTTTACATTTAGAATAAACTTACGTTATATGATAACAAATGTCTATAATATATTTGTTGCAGTCCCTTTTGGATGAACCAAATCCAAACTCTCCAGCCAATTCATTAGCAGCACAATTATATCAGGAAAATAAGCGGGAATATGAGAAGAGAGTAGCTACTGTTGTTGAACAGTCCTGGTTGAACTTCCAAGAAAGTCACACAGAAGATACCCGCTGACATTAAGTATAGTTCATTCTATATTTTTATGAAGTTTATTTCGTATCCTTTTTCTATATTGTTTTTAGAAATTTATGGCCTGAAATGCTTTTTTCTGTATTACAAAAACAATACATTAAATCCTCCACTGTTCTACAGAACTGTTTTCTATTTATTTAACATTGCTGTTTAATTTTATAATTTGAAAAGATTTCTTTTTAGTTTGATACATTTTTTGGATATGAAAAACTTGTAGAGCACTGGAGTGATGTGGAATCATACGAAAAGCATTATGTGATTTTTATCCACGAATATAGACGAAATGCGTATGATTTTGCTCACTATAACTAGATTTTAGGCGCTCATACACAGCAAAATTTGAAGGATATAAATATATGCATATAAATACTGTTTTGGTAACATTAATTTGCATTGTAACTAACAGCTATATTCAAATACAAGGATATCTTCGTAAAAAAAAACACAAAGAATTGATAAACTTAAGGTTTACTAAATTCATCCTGAGGAAGTAATAAACAAAAAATTAGTCTGGTTTTAATGCATAAAGTAAATGCATCAGTGTATAAATAATATAGTACATAGTTAAACCAGTAATCAAGTGGAAGAATATAAATATTGATTATTTGTAATTTCCTAATAAAGTTGAAAGAATATTATCTATAATAACATATTTTATATTAATATCCTTTCCTTAGAAATTATCAATTGCGAAGGAGAGGTGCAAATATTACAATAATGATCATAATAAAAAGTGAGTAAATTTAATGAAAACATCAAATTTATTTCTTATAAACATAATCTATAAAAAAGCTTTTTTATAATTAAGCAAAAAATATGAACTGTTTTTATAAAACAATATTTATTATTGTTTGACTATAAAAAATTGTAGTTTGTCAAACGTCTTATATATTAAAGAAGATTTATATTTTAAACACAGCACTCGTATGTACAAAGCAAATTTCTTTAGTAAATAAAATACATAGGATGAGACTATTCTATTTAGAGATTCAATAATCTGCACTTAAACATGTATATTTTATATATAAAAGATTCATTATAATTGTAGAAAGTTTAAATCCTGTTTCCTATACATGTAACTTACATTTCGCAAACAATAAAATCATATTACAAAAATGTAATCTTTTTTATTTAATACTGTTCTATTATGTTTTAAATATATATTACTATACAGATACAGGATGTTTATATGGTATTATTCAAAATATGTAAAAAATAATTTTGTAAAATCTTCAAATTTTTAATAAATATAAAATAACTTCAAAACATATGTAACAGTGATCAAAATATTTGTTTTACTCTAATTATTTAATATTTTCACAGTATTTACAATAATTAATATTATACAAATCTATTACTATTGTAATTTCTTACATAATAGCTCACACAGACATTTATACAATAAAATTTAACAACAAAGTAATTTTATCCAACTTTTCATAAAATTACAATAATTTTTCTCACTGGTTCTTACAAATAAAACAATCTAATTGGTGGGATTTAGAAAGTGTACTTAAAATTAAAAATTACGTTTGAAAAATTTCCTTTCATTTTAAGTAAGTCTTCCAAAGTGTTTAAATTGCTCACCACTTTTCTCCTGCTACGATTTCTCCTCTTTTTCTTTGTTATATCTCTCTAGTTCTTTCAGAAACTGTGCTTTAGGTTTCATAACATTCGGACGATCTCCCCTACATTTTGGACAAAACCATTTTCCTTTTGGCTTAGTACTTAATGAAACACACGAAAAATGGAACCATTCAATAGGACACAAATCATTATCACATAATATCATTTCTCCATATGATATCTGGTCACACAGACAATACGTTGGTTCATCTGGATCTATTGCAAGATCATCTTCTGGCGGTGGTGGAGTATCCTCACGATGTTGATTCTGTTGGCTTCCCTGCCTAGATTTCCTTTTCTTTTTCTTACCAGTGTTAGTAGTTGTTGTTTTCTTCTGATTGCCATTACTTGCATTTGATAAAGAGTTAGAACGTGTTTCAGTCATTACAATCATGTCCATAGCATTAGAAGATTCAACCATGGTTTCTGTCCTGGTCCTCCTAGCTCTTTTTGGTTGCCTTTCTGAATTATTTGCATTACCAGCAGAATTTGAATTAACATTTGCGTTTGTTTCACGGGTTGATTCATTAGTCTCTTGTTCTTTTCCAAAATCTATACAAAATTCCAAATAGAAAAGGTATTATTGCATATAGTTATAATGACAAGATATTCTAAAAGAAATAACATACCAAGATTACGGTAATCTAAATCCAACTGTCTGGATTTATTTTCTATAAGATCCTGGACTTGTTGGACTATCTGTAACTTTTCATCCCCTATTTCTTGGGCAGCAATCAAGGCTTGTTGTACCCTCAAAAGTGCCCTCCTTTTAACTGTTAAATCTGCATCATTTCGTAATGTTTCTTGTTGTTGATCTACTTCCCTTAAGTAGGCTGTATCAAAATAAAAATCAAATGGAAGATTTTATAATTATTAGTATGTTAAAATACAAAATAATATACTTCTAATTCAAATTAGTTTCAGTGTATCTAATGATATCCAGTTTTCTTCTTGTTTAATAACTTTATATACTATATTTCACAAAAATTTTATAACTAGTTCAAGTCACGAAAAACAAAATATTTGTAATAAAAATATACTGGTACACACAGTCGAGAAATTTTTAAAAATTTATTAATTGTAATTACTTTGACAAGTAGCATCGAGTTCTCGGAGCCGGGAAACATGTCTTTGTAAATCGTTTGGCAAATTTTCCACACAGTCTAAATAATTTTCAATATATGTTGCAGAATATAATGCTTCAACTACAGCTTGATTTAACATGTTCACGCTGTAATGAATTCTTAATAGTTAAAACATATAGAAACTTTGTTGATTAATACGATATACAGAGTAACTATATCAAAGTTTTCAACTTTTCGCAACATTTATACAAATATGTATCATTTAATTTACAACTACACCAATCCAGATCAATCAAATCGTACGGAACGTAGGTAAACTGTTGCAACACTATTTTTTGATACTCCATCTGTATTTGTCAGAGAAGTTAAACATGGCCGTCGACCTCACAAACGTGTTCTGTGAGTTTATTTTTTGGAAGGAAACATAAATTACTTTGTGAATATCAATTGTTTTACTCCCAAAGTTCATATACGTATTTTAATTAAAGACCTCACAAACGACATAGTAAAGAAATTCATCGTTAGATGTTTAAACAGGAATACATATTCACAAGGCTACATTACAAGAAAATCATATATAACAAAATATTATTATAACAACAATTGAAAATAATAATTATAACAATCTTTATAAATAATAGTTATAATTATTCGTTGCAATGTATTTTTAAATGTAAATAATGGTTATACATTTTATACAGTGAAACGAGCTTAATACTCATTGGAGTGCATTGGAGTTACTGTTATATTATATTACATATGTAAATCCTATAATTCTCATAAATTCCTATTTATTCTCATAGTAAAAAGTAGCTAAAAAAATTATTATATTTTATAATGATATTAAATTATATATTTAAGATATTTTCTAATTCAAACGTTCATTTGACTAGGTATCTGACGTCAAAATTTGTGCTGCAGACTACCAATCCCATGTCACAACCCTATTTGATTTCGTTCGGTAAAGGAGAGTCGTGTTTGGGTTCTCGTGTGCCGCAAAATCTGCGTGACGGTTAGCGCAGAAACATTAAGGTTTCCTTATTTTTGAAGTTTTCAAGAAGATGACGTCCACAGGAACTTTCCAAGGGTTTGGTGATGAGAAGAAGAAATCTAGCAAGTAAGTGACACGCTTATATTTATGGCTTATCATTCGTAGAATATCATATCAAGACTGATACTGTCTTTTCGTATCGTCTATGTCAATTATTTATTGTATTCTGTAAGATAAAAAAAAGATGAAAACTGTTCGTTAAACACGAGATATATTTCTCCCAGTTACAGTTGTCATTAAATATATTGATAAAAAATTCGATCATTTAACAATTTGAATTTCGATATTTAATGAATCTTAATTTTATGATTATTATTTGTCCATCTTTAAAAATTATTTTTGCAAAAGATACAAATGTTAATTGTTTTATTTAATCAAATAATAACAAAAATAAACGAACAGCGTCTTGTTGGTTACTGACTTTTTTGTTATGCATGGTGCGTCAGTTTGAACCGGTCATAACCGGACAATCCATGATCCTTTTTTGTTGTGGTAGCGTTTTGGTAAATTAAAATTTGCAATTTTCAATGAATATGTATTTTTAATTACAACGAATATTTAATTTTTCCAAAGATATTTAAGAGTTTAAAAAATCTGAATTATTTTTGTCATTGTTCAAGTATAAAATCACAATCGTAAAATGTAAATTATTTGTTGATAATTGCATTCGTCGCTTTAGCAAATATTTGATTACAGTATCTATCAGGTTTTTAATTTTGTTTAAGGTTGCATAGTTTATAGTATGAACTTTTGATAATTCACGAATGTTTTGCGTATATCATAAATCTCTGTATAAAAATTTCTGATAATTTTGATTGATGAATCTCTTAATCAGCAATTTTATTTATCTCAAAAATGAATATAGTACATTACAGAATGATTTTGTTTATGTTGATTTTTTATCAGTCATTCATAAACACAATTGAACTGTTGCATCTAATAATTATAAAGTCGGTGTATGTACCTTACGCGGGGTAGTCGTAAGTATAAACATGTGGCAATAGATTGCGCTGAGTGTATCGTTGCGTATTCAAGTTTAAAAAAGTAAAATAATTCACTATTTAAATAAACTTATCTTTATTTTCATATTTACATAGTACATTTGATAAAACATTGAAGTAAAATTTTTAATTAAATGGAAACTATGTAACCAGTAAAATCTAAATACTAGTAAAAGCACATAGCTATAATACCATTCATATTACCCAAACAAATATCTAATGAACGTAAATATTATTATTATGGATAAACGAAAAGTAAGAAAGCAGGGTGGGTTATATATTCCAACTTATTTTGTAAAGTCTTGATGACTGAGTTTAACCTGGAAAGTATCACGTTTCAGGTCTAACGTTTTAGAGAAAAAAATTAGCGGTTTACCGCAGCACTACTAAACACTGCAGCCTATGTTTCTTATAAACGGAATGCTTGGTTTATTAATACTGATGAAAAATGTAGAACATAAAATATGTAGTAGCTAAATATTTTTTTTTTTTTTTTTTTTTTAATGGGAAACGTTTCTACATTTCCGGTCTGATTATCCTTACGGTATAAATGTACATCGTTTGAGGTTCATGATATAAAAATTAGATAAGTTGAAAGTACCGGATGTCTGTAATCATGATGACAGAAAGCCACAAATGTTTAAATTTCTTTCTCATACCAGTCTTCAAAGAATGAACTTTTTTGTCGAATCTTGTCATTTCAAATGTAATTATGCATTGTGCAAGAGATATTCGTGAATCGTACGTCCCCTTTGTTGTAAATTTTCTCGGAATGCATGCAGATAATACGCATGCTTCTGAAACACGAGTCACGCTGCTTCAGGATGACTCACCCAATGTCCTGCAGTTCTTTAGCGTGCCGCATAGAGGCGTGTACATTTAGGCTCGGAGGCTATCGTAATTGCATAGGATAGGTACAATATTCTGTCCACCCTTTGTTTTCCTTTTATGCACCTTTCCCTTTTAGGTGTTTTTTATGTCTGTCCACGTTGATGATAGAGAGCACGTATTTTAATTCTTATGATATTTATGGAAAGGGTAGGAAATATTTTTTATTTATCTCTATATTTTAAATAAATACTCCATTCTGATACTAAGAGTTACTTAATTCGGTTAATTTCTATAAAATATGAAAACTAAGCGAAAGGCCCAGAACAGGTGCTCCGTTTGACCGGTGTTAAGGACGGTTTGACCATTGAACTATATTCGGCAAGTACTGTCAGAAAAATAAATTAGACAAGTTTCGAATGAAAATTAAAACTATCCAACTTACAATTAGATACACGTCTAAATCCTAGTCGTATTCGACTTGCATCTTTATTTACAGTGGAAACTACGCAAGGTATTCTCGCAATGAAGAAAATCCGTAAGAAGTTCTCGATTCAAAAGGTAAATATAAACATCGTCGTCGGCTAGCCTGAAGAAATAGCCAAAACGGAGTAGTCTGTAGGTGAATCGCGTTCGTGCCTGTGTGTTTAAGGACATGCCCCTTCGGAACTGTTCGCGCAGTCTCGTAGGTCGAATAACCGGCTTAAGGCCCCATGCACACGTGCGCGAGGATCATTCTCCCTACGCAAGTTTGCGTTGCAACACGGTGTCGATCTCTGCCGTCAGTGCAGAGAACACGGTGTGTGCACAGAACAACGCTCTTCCTTTCGTGGTTTCTCGACTTTTTGGAGGTGGCGCCTCCTCGTGTAGCGTGCGTTAGTTTCCCTTCGCATTTTCTATCGCGTTGTCTCTCTCGTTCGCGAACGGTGGTGCGTGTGCGCAATAAGGATAGAAACGGAAAAGGGAAGAGAACGGCTGGTGACCCAGCCTGACTGACCTACGTCGTACACCGCTCATACGTGCATAACCGGCGCGAAGTGTCGTGACCGTCGAAACGCGTGGCCGTGTGATTTGTAATTGTCACCAGACACACAATTCGTCAAGTATTTTTACGTGTAATCAGAAGAAAATGTGGGCCGGGCAGGACGACACTCAAAGATTCAAAACCAGGTTCGTACCACAACTTACTAATTTTCTTAGTGAATTTTCTTTCTCCTGTTTCGTCATTTTATATCGCACCATGTTTTTTTATTCTCGTTTTGACAAGCCATTTATAACCTCGAAATGCCTTTCTCTTCGAGCTTGTTCGATCGAGCGACAAGTTCGACGACCTCGTGTCTATCGAACGATCGAAATCGCAGTTCCGTAAACGCGATCAAGTCGTTAGGTAGCCACCAATTGATATGTGTTAGTTGAAACACGATTGAACGTGCAGCGCGTTGCGTGTCCCCGCCTGTTGCTTTCCTCGCATGTGTTCCCTGTTTTATCGATCGAGCACCGGGGTAGTCTATGGAATTTCGGAGTTTATTTTCATAGTTGTGTCCTTGTGGTGGTCCAACTATTATTTGAAACATCTGTCGGGTTTCGTGAACGGGGACCAGATACCTGCCTTTCTTTTGACATATGCTTGGAACCTTTCGAGCAAACAAACGTCCGTCGCAAATTTTTCTTCCTTTCAAACTTTACGTTGCAGTCGGTACAGCTTCCTGCCTTTTATGGTCATACATTTTTTTCTACTAGTTTAATAATTTAGTACCAATAGTGTGGATATTTAGCGTTTGAAGAATCTTAACCACGCGTTGTTTTAATTTCTCAATTGAAATCGCGGAAGCTGCACAGTAAATGCGATACGGTGACAAACGAGATTTCCTGACGGGACAAATTTCGATGTTAATTGATGACGATTAACGGCCTCAAGGAGAACAGGAATCGAGAGAGACTGAGCCCTCAGTCTAGTTTCTATTTCTGCGAGACACGGGCAAAGAACAAGAACGTGGACGAGTCGTTTCCAGACACGAAACTGTACAAAGGTTAATGCCAGTGTAACGAGAGCAACGAGTTACCGGGCAGACATGCTTCCACCACTCGGTCTCGTTTATAAGCTCCAGTCACGCTATTCTCAAGTTCGGAATTTCAAATTTCACGCTTCTATGTTCCTTTACTGCTACCGTACAAAGAAATAGAGATCTTAAGTTTTTTTCACAGAGTGTATCGATAAATTCAGCCGTTAGAAACCTCCTCTCTTCCCTTTCGTAATTTTTAACAAATTCTAGTCACGCTATGTCTACGTTCGTTAGTGATATAAATGATAGTGATATAGTTACCCTATACTTTTACATTTGAAGTCCTAAATTTTACCCTTTTTTTTATGCTACTAGGAGAAAGAAAAGTAATAGGTACCATAATACACGCAATGTTGAGACTGAGTCGTACTTGGAATCGGTGAATCATTTCGGTCGATAAGGAAGTTAAATACGATAATGCGTGGAAACATATGTAGCACCAGCAACATCGATCATCTTAGAGTGCATATGTAATCTTTCTCGCATGAAAGATAACGCGTTTTAGGAAATATCTTTATCGCGGTATGAAATACTCGATAAACAGGGATTCTTGGAAGTCGCTTAAGCATTTTTCTATGTTCGCTACGATCGTATCGTGTACAATTGATCGTATTTTCGTAACACAAAGCGGGTACAGAGGCGAGGCAACTGTGTGACACGGTTCACTTTATCGTGTGGGTAGAACTTGTTTTTGAACAAGACTCTTGGTATCCGTGCATTCACGCGACCGGATTTCACTGAATATCATATCGAATGTTCGTGAATAACGTTTTCGTGCTACCATCAGGGTACACGTGTCTAGTTTCTATCGTACGTGTTTGATCTTGTATGTTTGGTAACCCTTTAACTGCTAGGGACATTTAAATTTAATGGTGAATCTCTCTTCTGGTATTAGTATTGTAAGATTAAAACTCTAATTAGGTAAAATTATGAATAAAAATTATGTTAGAATTAAATAACAGTAGACAGTTGATACTTTTAGTAAATCTAGGGATCCCTAGAAAAATTCTAGTTATTTTAATAGTTATCGGATATCTTTTTCTATTTTCCCCTGCTTTTCTGAAGCCTCGCCCTAATTAGTATCAATTTCGAGGGCCACTCGAATCGGCTGAAGGATCACTCGAGATAATAAGTAAAGTAATTGGTTAGTTGGTCGCGTGGGCGTTTCACGCGACGATTCTCGTTGTTTCTGGTCGGTTCGCGGAGCGGATTCCCCGACGAGACATCGTCTTATCGGGTCGTTGGTCACCGCGTTAAAGAAGAAACGCTAGGAATCAGCGTTAATCTCCGACGGCATTCCCGCTCGTTTGTTCGGAGATCGTGGAGAGCACGAGTCATTGATAAAGGGGAGATTCTGAGCGCAACGGATCTGGTGTCTCGATTTGTCGAGGATCGAGGAAGTCGTGGTGTACGAACGTTGTTTTAATGGATGTAGGAGTTTGTACACGAGCCTAGGAATGATTTACGAGAGAGGCAATTTGTGGCACGATGATACTAGTTCATGAGCTGTTTTCTTCTTTCTTTTTCGATGATGTAATTCTTGAATGATATCTGTTGCGTTATTAGTGGAGTACATATACGTTGTTAGTATTTCATTTCAGATGAAATATTTTGAAATTTATAGATTAATTTTTCCACTTTATTACTATAGTTTTTTAATTCAGTTTTATTCTTATTCTTTTCGAGGGCAGGTCTCATTTCTACACCAAAGTTGTGTTCGCACACGCAAAACGCGACGCGTAGAGTGGTCGTTGGTGTCCTGTTGCAATGGGAACGTCGTTTTTCTCTGGTGACTCGTTTCACCGATCCTCTCCGGTATATTCTCGTGTCCCGTTCACATTTAATCAATTTCTTCAGCCAAAATTTGTCAACAAATCACGAATTTCTATGTTCTTTAACTCTTTCCCTATAAATGGTAAATATAAAGATTCTGTTGTTTAATTAAGATCATTATTTGAGTTATTAAGTGTAGTAATAAAAAAATATTTGATTTTTAAAAAACAGCCTAAAAGAGCAGCGAAATATCTCAGGCTATTTAAAAAGAGAAAGTATCAAGTGCAATCTAGCTATCGCTAACGATAGTAATCAGTCTTGTCCGCATGTAGACTGCTGTTATCAGCCGTGATTGCATTCAATTATTCGTCAGAGTGTTTGTTAAAGCTGCCAAGTACCTGCTCGTGAACGAATTCTTGATCTGGACGATGCTCCGTTGAATAGGATCGTTGAAACGAGTTGTTGTTGTTGCGTTTGCTCGCATGCAAATTCGCTCTATGGGGGATTTAATATTCCAGTTGAAGAAGGGCCAACGAGGTGCGTGCATGTTAGCACGTAATCGTACGATCGACCGTAAATTTCTTCGAACAAATAGCCTTTTTCCCCTCTCGCCTACCTTACAGCCCCGGAGTCATTGAGCTTTCACGCCGTGAAACGTCCGTTTCTATTGTTCTACGGACGAAAACGATCGGTGAAAACGCGTTTGCCCTGGTTCGCACCTTCGTACACCGGTATTATGAATTTTTCACGCCTGTCTTAGTCGAAACGAAAAGGTCTGTACGCGATTCTATCTGGCAAATATTACGCTCGCTATTTAATGTCAGTTTTGTTCCATATCAAATGGACGATTTCGAAACGTACAAAGTCTACGTAATAATTATGTGATGGATTTTCAATTGGAATTATTTCGGCTGTGTTTCCGAATGGTCCCCCAAAATTGAGAACTCAGGTTCGGTATATAATCTAAATTGACTACAAGAAACCGATTAAAGTTGGTTTCAGAGCTGAATGTCTTACCGTTTTAAAGATATCGTGGTAAGGTTAGGTTAGGTTCCGTGTATGCGCAGTATCAAATAGCACATGTTCAGTATCGAATAGCGCATGCGCAGTATTGAATAGCGCATGCTCAGTATCGAATAGCGCATACGTAGTCCCAAAATTGTACAAAAATTTCTTACTACGATATCTCAAAAACGGTAAAACATCCAGTTCTGAAACCAACTTTAATCGGTTTCTTGTAGTCAATTTAGATTATTTACTGAACCTGAGTTTTCAATTTTGGGGGAGCCATTCGGAAACTTATTCATTCGGAAACTTCAAATACAAATTATTAGAATTTGAAATATTTCAGCGTAGAAATCTCGGATATTGAACTTTCAAAAAGGGAAAAGCTAAATTAGATCAGCGATAGGTGATTTGATTATTGGAATAGTGCCCATAGAAAATCTAACGCGACACTTTCCTTCTGAATTCTTTCCGCAGAAAAACAAGTCACGATCGAGGGGTTTCGGAATTAAGTGAATTCCTCGCTGCGATTTGCTGGATCGTAGTTTCGTGAAAAATCTGGTTTCTCGCAGAGCTCTCAATTGTTCGGGAAAAAACCACAATTGGAAAAAATGCTGGAGGCACTCGCTGGCTATCTTCGGTGCAAAACCTAATGCATCTTGATTGCAGCAGGGTAAAACTTTCAGACGGATAACAGTGTTCCACGGATGAGCGAGGCTTTTTCTTGTCCGTGTTCCCTGGCGTTGATTTATCTCGCCACGAGCCGGTGAAATTAGAGGAAAATATCGTTGATCGACTTCCACGAGGGCTCCTCGTAAACCAATATCTTTGTTTTTGCCGTTAGTCGTACGGTTTTGTTGTTGTTTTTATCGAAATGCCATTAGATTAGAGCTACCTGGATCTTGTTTCGTTTTTCGTCTTGCCAATCACCACGATAATGTCTATATTGTTTGGAATGTGGTAGCTTCATTTTCCCTCGTCGAATCAAGTTTTTCTTCTTCCCTTTGGGAGGAAAAAAAACTTGTCGTAATTAACGTTGCAATTAAACTTGATTAACGTTTGTCTTTTATGTGAAGGAGAAAACAGGTGTAGGAGATAAAAATTGATTATAGAAGTTTAAAGAGAAATTATTAGATAGCCGAGAGGCAAATGATTGAAAGTATTTCCTGTTTATGTTATTATTCAGAGATGATTAGAATTTCAATCGAAATAACATTAATTGCATTTTATGTTATTTTCCTTGTTAAAAAAGAGGGAAAAATTAGAAATTGAACATTACAATTAAATATTATTTTTTTCAGTAATACAAAATTTCTTACATATAATACCCAAATCTTATTTCCAAAGGGAAAATTTCATCCTAAAGGATTAATGTTCTCTTTTCACTACCAGATCCATGAAGTAATCCACACGTTTTATCTAGCATCAATGCATTGTGTTTTACAAGGATCATAGAATCGCGAGTTGTACTTGGTCCTGGTGTTCTGTGTGGTCTTTCTCTTTTATCTTCCGACAGCCGACGTGGTCGTAACGATAAATACTAGCGGCTCTATGAATTCGAACGGAGAAAAGCAACGGTGTGTAGAGTCGACATTTGTGGTCTACTAAACAGGAAACCCTCGAATCGAATCGAGTTAGAGAAAAGTTGGACGTTGTTGGATAACGTTCGATTCGTTTTCCGTGATGCTTGCCTCCAAGCTAAATATGAACTTTCATTGTTGGAAAATCAATGCTTGTAACCTTCAAAGTATGTACTTGTGGTATATCAATTTAAAGTTTAAAGTTTTATTGAAATAACTGTTCAAACAGTTGATCGATATTTTTCGTACAAAATGGCTGGTTACTTGATGGAACAAACAAACTGCACGTTGATGTATCTGTTTGTTCCAATGAAGAATCATCCATCTTGTAATAAGAATATTGATGAGCCATTTAAGTAGAAATTTTAGTCAATCTTTAAGCTTCAAATTGACGTATCATAAATGGCATCTTGCGAAACTTTTATGTCATGAAATTGCGTTAGATTCAATTTAAAAGAAAATATGAAATTGCCTTCATCTGGGTTAATTAAATAGATAACACTTGAAAACGGACTTTCATTTTTCATCGAACGGATCAATAATATGTCAAACAGCTTCGCGTCTCACTATAATCT